AATTACAGATTATATTAACTTCTTTAGGATTTACAGTGCAGGTGAACCAAACACTGCTGGAAAAACTCCAGTCGATCCTCAAAGAAACCAAACTTTCTGTAATAATTCTGTCGTTTCCTGCTATTATTTTAAAATAAAAGATTCCTGAAAGAACAAGAACAATTTAATGTTGGTTGTAACATAACACTGAAAAACATGATTTATAATATCTCGGTAGAGATTGGCATTATGGGTAATCTGAGTGCTGATTAAGTCATGTTTTGTATCTGAACTGAACTGAGACGTTTCAGAGGTCATTAATACAAGAAACAATAAAACTGAACAGAGGAAATACAGTATTTTAGGGAAGTGAAAGAGAGGCACTTGTTTCTCCTCTCTTTGCTTCCCTTACGGGTGGTGCACTACACTGTACAGACTACACCTTTAAGTCTTGTTTACGTGACTTTGACCACCTTCACAATCAGCAGACTCTTTTCTACCTTTGGTTTGTTTTTGTGCCGTTTTCTCTGAAATGTTAAAAACAACATCAGTGTGAATCCCTCAGCCCCTCCCTGATATATGAATGATGTTATGTTGTAGTAAATAGTGGATTAATGACAGGCAGTCGCCTCCCTCGGTTCTCTTTAATCATGAAGTCATTGTTCAGTTCCTCTGTTCAGCATTTTCAGCAGAACTATGTTCACAGCTGCTCCTTTTTCCCAGCATCACTTGCATCACTGTGTGAGCTGATGCAAACTTTAATGGACGAAAACCACGAAGGTCCGGCTGCTTCCCAACGTGCTCACAGTGCTCAGCCCCTGTAGGCCTCAACATAAGTTCATGGCATTATCATTTCATCGGTCCATATGTGCTCCAAAACCTCATGATCTGAACTAAATATGGTTAAATTCATCATAAAACATGCACGTTGAACATATAGTCGCAAGCTACAGACACATGTAATTACAGTGTTTTCTAATTCTAATTGATTTGAACTGTTAATTACAGGCTGTGGCCAAATTAATGTAGTCAGTTTGCCCGAAACTGCAGCTTATATGACCGTGTGTAACCAAGTGATGTCCTGTAGAGTCAAGAAAAAAAGTTAAATAAAGAGTGGGAACCCTGAATGGGACCAGCCCACCACACCGAGTCCTGTTGCCCCAAGAGGAGAGGAAGAGAGCCGGATTGGAGCCGAGGCTGCTCCTGGACTCGAGACTGTTAACAGTCAATTAAAGTAAAAAATTAACAATAAAGGTATTTGTTGTGTAATTTCACATAGATTAGTTAGTTAACTGACAGATATGTTGTATAATGATGGAAGTTGAATAAATGTTGTTTATCAGTGTATAAGGTAAACTGTCCAAATACAGTTGTTATCAGTGTAAACAGCAATAATTACTGTAATCTCACAGATAATGACTTTTATTACACTTCTATAACTTTTAACATTCAGACTAATTATAATAAAAATCTAATAATAACAGCACTCTGCTGTAAATGTAAGTCTGATTATTTATATTATAGCAGAGTTCATCTGTATTTATAGCTCATTGTTTTACACTGTAAATATCTTTAATTAAATATTGAAAAGACACAAATAGATTTTATGTAAAATTAAAGCTATTTTGATCATAGAAGATTGATGTATTATTAAGGGTCAGTTATTTTCTGTTGTATGTTTTTTGGTGCTCAGCTGCTGGAACATTGTTTTAATGTGAAGATGAAACCATATTATCATCACTATCTTGTTGCTGCTGAATTATTTATAGCATATATGGATATAAACAACTGTATTTATTAGTTTAAGTCAGCAGCGGGTCGCACAATGACAAATTCAAATCAAAAAAAGGAGAATAGTTTATATTTTTTCCTCTGGTAATGTCAGCGTTCGTGGGATTCACTGACACACTTTCCCAGCAGCTTCAGATCAAAGTGTTCACCAGGAACGAGACGTTCAGGAGCGCCGGCTGTCAGAAAGTGTTCGGAGGTGATAAACGTTTGATACAGTCGCAGTTATCTTGACCTGACTGTAATCTTCCTGTGGAGCCACAGAGCTGCAGGCTGAAGGCTGAACGACAGAGAGAGACGACCTCGAACGCCAACGGGTCACACCGCTGACGTTCATATTCACATATAACAGAAACACAACATGGTTTTATTTATATCTTCATATACGACACACACAGTGGAGTGACACACAGTGGAGAGATACACAGTGGAGTGATACACAGTGGAGAGATACACAGTGGCGTGATACGCAGTGGAGTGATACGCAGATACACACACCTTTATTACAGTAAAATTAGAGCCGTATGATGCAGTAAAAACATCAGATTGTGATTATTTTGTGACAGATATGATTCATGATGATTGTGAGAATGATTATTTTTACATCACAAACAGGTGACCTCAGATTTTGAGGTTATCTGAGTGGGAGGATGAAACACAAACAGTTCCAGCTCAACAGAGATTATTTCCAGGATTCTTTGTCCCTTTAACTATTTCCAGGTTTTCCAGGACGCTGTGTGGGAACGCTGCCACTGATCTCGCTGGGTGGATCGTCCTCAACTAAATTTAAATAACACTTTTCTTACAACAACAAGGCACAGAAGAAAAAAAAACATATCAAATATTCACATAAGCACAAAAACAAGAGATTAAAACAACTATAATAAAGTTTAAAGAACTATTACGACAAACATACATTACTGATTTAAATTAATATTTATTAATGTAAAATATCAGATAGAAGAACACGACTCGTGATGGGGAACCAGTGTTTGTATCAGGGTCAGGCCCCCCCCTCGGCCCCCCTTTGGTGGCGCCAATGAATTCTTTAATCACATTTACTGGCCTCATTAAGTAAAATAAACAAAATCAACTGAGCTACAGATTTTAATTGGACTTAACTGAGCAGAAAATTAGATTTTTCTTTTCATAAAGTCGTCTTAATTAATTCAAATGAACGGTTTCTGTTTCTCTGTTTGTGTAAAATATCAAATCTGAAGAAATGATCAAACCAACTGATTTTAAGGAAATTCTGTCATTAAATTTATATTAATATAGTTAAAAAGATTTATTACGTTCACATTTGACCTGAAAATAAAACCTCCTCATCAGTTTTGATGTTAATAAACTACTCAAACACACTCAGTTCTCTCTGCTGGATGCTCTTCCTCTGGCTTGCGGCGCCCTCTGCTGGCTGGATGCTGACGTTGCGGTCGCTCCTGCAGTCAGACACAAACCTCTGAACCTCCAGAAGACTCTGAAGATAAAGTTCATCCAGTTTCAGTAGATAAAGAAAACATTTTAAACAGATTAAGAATAAAAACAAACAAACAACAAAACAATTCTGCAACAAAATGCTGCCGACAGGATTAAAAGATCTTCTGTGATCTGCTAATCTCAACTTTAATTAGGAACAAATGTGATTTATTCTTCTTTCTTCATTTCCAACAAGTTTCATGAGAACAGCTCCGATAGTTTTCCTTCAATGCTGCTGACAAACAAACAAACAAACAAACAAACAAACAAACAAACAAACAAACAAACTGAAAACATGGCGTCCTTGCAGGAGATAAAAATACGAAAGACTAAAATAAAAACCAAACTCCATTGTGTAACCGCGGCAACAAGACAAAACAAAAACATTATAAAAACGTAAAACCACACAAACGTCAAAAGTAAAATAAAAAATAAATTTAATAAAATAAAATCAATATTACAAAATAATAAAATAATATAAAAACATATAATTATAATAATAAATCATAAATAAATATTAATATGAAGAAAAAAATAAAAATAACTAATAATACAATAAATAAATAATATAAAAAATATAAAAAATAAAACTAAAAATGAAATGTAATGGAGTAAAAGTAGAACGTATTAAATGTATTGTATTTAATGTATTTAGTAGATAAAAATAAGATGTAATAATTTGTGATATTTAAATTCACAAATTATTGGATGAATTTTACACATTTCACACAATACATTTACTAGATTTACATTTATTAATTTAATATTGGACACATTGGATAAAAACAGCAGTAAAACATTAATTACCTGATATTTAAGGTTTTCTGATCAAACTCCAACTTCTCCTCCATCGTTGAGCCAAACGGAGCGCGCTCAGTTGGTAGCGACTCTTCAGCAGCCGCAATAATAATAATAACAATAATAATAATAACAATAAAAATAACAAAAATAACAATAATAATAATAACAATAATAATACTGAGGAAAGGTGCTACACTGCTTCCTTTCTTATCTCCTACACTAAAGGAGTGAACGCCGTCCCACAATCCTTTGCACCAACATTTAGTGACTGGTTTCACCAACAGAGCTCCTTTATAATAAAGATTTATTCTTCTTCACTCTGAAGTCGTCTTTAAGAACAAACATGATGAATTCAGTTCAATGAACATGAATTAATTTATTATAAATATAACTATTATTTATTAATCTAATCTAAAGTTTTTAAGTTTTGGTGATTTAATTTCAGTTTAATATCCTTTAATATCCTTTAAGATCACATTGACTCCTTTTCTTTAAATTGACTTTATATATATATAATTAATGAGTTTTTCCATTTTTGTTTTTATCAGTAAATAAATAAATAAATCATCATATGAATGAATACGCATCCATTTCTAATAACGTCCAAAGTGTAAAACAGATTGTTAACGACTTAATTAAATGATCCACAAATAATTAATTAGCTACCACTTTGATAATTAATTGTTTTTATTGTACGTCAGCTGTTTTGGTAAGTAACGTAATAACTGCTAGAATAAAATAATCAGCCTTATATTTACAGAAATTACATTTAAAAGACATTTTAAAGCTAAAAATTGTCATTTAATCACAGAAAATTACTGTATTTTGCCAGAATATTACTAAATATAATATTAATATATATAATATTAGTGTTTTTCTACATGGGGCTGTACAGCAGCATCCACGTTGATGAAAGGTCAAAGGTCAGATGAATAAAAACAGCACCAACAGCAGAGTTTTTGGTACATTGACTGTATTTTTTTATTCCAAACGTGTGTCTATATATTGAACATCAGAGGGCCGGTCCCCTCCTACAGTCACCCCACACGTCAATATCAATAATAATGATAACAATATCAGAATAATATCCGTCTGTCGCCTCCGTCCTACTGATGAGCTGCTGGTTCGAATCTGAAGGGAGGAGCAGAAATAAACCCGCAGACGATGTGATGAACGTCATTCACACACACACACACACACACACACACACACACACACACACACTTAAAGTCACATTACATCGACATTCCTGTGCGCTTTTACTCATTTTCATGAACAGTTTCTTCCTCTCGGACGCTGCTGGCTCATTTTTTAATAGTTTCTATGCAAAAAAACCCCAAAAATTAAAGAAAGAAACAGGAACTACAGGCACTGCTCTTCAAACAATGTCCAATAAAAGTCAATAAAAAATGTGCAGATTTACATTTTGCTCCTCGCAGCCGGGGCCCTGCAGGCGGGGGGGCACTGTAAAGCAATCACACGTGGAATTGACAATCGATACCAGCACTTTGATTTGTCGGCGTATGGATGATGGACAGGTGAGTTCTGAACTCCGACATCGATTTTAAAAAGACTCGAGGTTACCGCGAGAAAAACAGGAAATAAAATGTTACAAAATAAAGTAAAAACAAGCAAACTGGACACAAAGGACAGGAAGGAAATTACAATCACAAATTTAGTTATTTTCTTTTCCTCCTTTAAGTTCACCTGTGAGTGTGTGTGTGTGTGTGTGTGTGTGTGTGTGTGTGTGTGTGTGTGTGTGTGTGTGTGTGTGTGTGTGAGCAGCCTGCACTTTAAATACACACTGTACTGTACTGAGGTTAGTTTCTCTCCTTTCAGGGACTGTATGAAAATTACATTTTAATAATAATTATACAGCCATATTGAATTGCTACAACTTGTTTCAATATAAAAACAAAAGCATTTAAAGAAACTAAAAATGTCACTTTAACCCTTTAAGATCACATCCTCAGTTATATTGTTCCAATATTTAACAATTTATGCTAAAAACATTCAGAAAAACTCAATTTTCTTCCTGTAAAACTTAATGTGACGCGTGCTTACGTCAGCATGAACTAACTGATCTCAACCAATCATATCTGACATTCACTCGTCGATCAATCTGCAACTTTTAGAGACACAGAGCGAAGATTCATTAGTTCTGGCGGAGCTCACGGATCACTGTACAAACACACAACTGTATCAGAGACTTGGGTGAAACTGGATCACATTTTATGGAGAGAATATTGTCTGGTTTTCACATTAGAAGAGAAATTAGAATAAAATAACAACAAAATATTAATCAGCTGTGGGAACATAAAAAAAAGCCCCTCCCAAAAACATCTAAAACGTCCAATATAACTTTCACACAGTCCCTCGCAGTCGGAGTCTCACTCACCGAACTATTTTTGGCACAAATTTGGAGCACAACCCGACTCTGGTTCTCGGGTTGGGGGATAAACTCTCGTTAGCAACAGAGGACAGATGCTCTGAGGTTGAGCCCCTTTTTTATGCTAAGCTAATCTGGCTACGTGGGATCCGTCTGACTTTGGAGGCTTAAGAGGAATAGTTCAACATTTTGGAAAATGCACAGATTTTTTGTTCTGAGGGCGATTTTCAGATGGACGTGGTTAGCCTAGCTTAGCATAGTGACTGGAAGCGAGGGGAAACAGCTAGCCTGACTGTAGCTCCTCTAAAGCTAAAAGGCAGTTCGGAGCCGTTGTTTTAATACATTTCCAGGTGTTTCAGGACCAGAAAATCATTCTGAAATGTTTAATATCATCGTAAATAAAAACTGTAAACAGCTCAAACATGTTTCCATTTTCCTTTATCCATCAGTCCCACAGTTTAACCTTCATCATCATCATCATCGTCATCGTCAGCTGCTTCAGGGGAGTATTGATCACAGCACCAGTTGGTCAGTTCAGGTCGGCGACCGGGTTGAGCTACATCCTCCAGAGACGTCCAGATGATTGACAGATGAAAACTGTACAGCTGCTCTGCTACTGTGTGTGTGTGTGTGTGTGTGTGTGTGTGTGTGTGTGTGTGTGTGTGTGTGTGTGTGTGTGTGCGTGTGTGTGCGTGTGTGTGTGTGTGTGTGTGTGTGTGTGTGTGTGTGTGTGTGTGTGTGTGTGTGTGTGTGTGTGTGCGTGTGTGTGCGTGTGTGTGTGTGTGTGTGTGTGTGTGTGTGTGTGTGTGTCTCCTGTACAAACACCTGGTTCAGTATTCAAACAGTGAAACCTCGGAGCGCTGATGAGCACAGCCCTCAGTCTTGGCACGGAGCGTGATGATTGGCCGAGGCGAGCGGTGGAGGACTGACCGCCTGCGGGACCCAGGATGGCGTCCGTTTAACAGCCACTTCCTGTTTGTCCATCCTCCGCAGTCCTGCTCCGAACGCCTCAGCTGGTGTGATCCGAACTGTTTGATTCAGAGTGGTTTCATCCGACCCCCCGACCCCCCCCCCGTGGAAAGGTTACTGGTATGATCCGCTGAGCCGAAGTGGCTTTGTTTTAATGGAGTCAGAATGGTTTGGTCCGCCCACCCCCCTGCTGATTGGCCGGTTTGGACTGACCCAGCTGTGGGCCACAAAGTTCACTGAGGGTTTAAAAGACCTTTGACCCCCCTGGTGGCCCGTACAGCATCACTCCGCTCAGTCGTGCCCCCCGAGTAAGTCTGTCGGCGGCCGCGTTGGCGTCTTGGGCGGGGGCATTGGTCTGGGCGGTGGCTGCGGTTTGGTATTTCCCCGCTGGGGGCTCCCTGTCCCCCCGCCCCCGTCGCTGTCGGCTCTGTCCGCCGGGATCGGGGGCGGCGGCGGCGGGAGGCGGGGCAGCGACATGGAGCCGTGGTGGTAATGGAGGTGGTGGTGGGGGTTGTGGCGGTGGTGGTGACCTGGCGTCGGCCCGGAGGGAGGGACCCGGGAGCAGGAGGAGGCGGAGGAGGATGAGGAGGGGGGAGGAGGCGGGGGAGGCGTGAGCGTGGCGGGCCGCAGGCTCTGGATCCGCCGGCACTCCTGGCAGATCCGCACGTGGCTGCAGCCCTGCAGGAAGCTGCGCGGTGGGGCGGGAGGAGCCAACGTCGGAGGAGGGGGAGGCGGCGTGCTGGTGGTGGCGTTGGCGCCTAACGGGTCCTCCAGGAGCCTCTGTGGCCCCGGGCCCAAATCAGGCCCTGCTCCCATACCTCCCCCCATCCCCGCCAGCCCGCCCGTCAGCGGGCCGGCGCCACTGTACAGTTTGCCGTTGCTGAGACGCATCTCACGGACCAGGCGGATGGGGCGCGGGGCAGCCAGCGCCAGGCGGGACGGGTGACGCAGGACTCCGCCCCCGGTGCTGCTCAGAGGCCGCCGGCGACGAGAACGAGAACTCTTCTTACAGGAGACGGCGTTTCGAAACTCTGTCAGCATCTCCTGACAAACAGAGACCTGAGAGACAAACAGATGTTACAGATGTTACATTTATAAACTGATAATAATAATAAACATTAATAAAGAAACAAACAGATGTTCTCTATATACAGTCACAGAGTCACATGGTGTCTCTCTCCCTCTGCCTGTGTTGTATCGCAGCCTCTCTGTGGTTTGTTTCCATAGCCGGTCTGCTCCGACTGAAACTGCTGTTTTTATCATCTACGTCGGTGAATTAAGGATTTATTTCCACCAAACCAGAGTTGGTGATTGTTGGAAACACTAACAGAGACGCTTTTAATCAGTTTGATTCTGTTTCTGTCCACTTTGAATGAAGTTATGATGATCTGAAGGTAAAATGACCGGTTTTGTCTCTGGAGTCTGGTGTGTAGTGCTCATTGTTTAGGTCTGTGACTTTTCAATCTATTTTGATTTATTAATAATAAATTCATATAATAATATTGAAATATTATATTTACCTTCCTCATGTCTTTTTACATAAAAATAAGTTTATGTTGTCACATATTCCTCTTCTTATTCATAATGTCATTATGCTCCTTAAAGAGCTCACTGTGAATATAAACTGCTGCTGATAAAGAGAAACTGAGTGAATGTGAGAGAACACAATATGTTCTGGATGTTTTTATCTGTGTTAATGCTCCGCAGCTTCCCACCTCAACTGTCATGTTATCTATAAATATGTTTGAGTATGTGTGTGTGTGTGTGTGTGTGTGTGTGTGTGTGTGTGTGTGTGTGTGAATCATCTGTCCTATAAAAACCCGTCGGGGCAGAAAGTCAAAGAAACGACAGATAAATGAAGAACAAATGAAAGTCACAGTCTGTATCAGCAGAGGGCGAATGAACAGACTGCTTCCTGTTTGGATTTAAAGCTCCAGCGTGGAACATGTGATATAATATTCATACGTATGTTCTCATTAGTGTCGTCCAACCTGAGGGGAGGGACCCACATTAGGGGTTGCGAGGCTTCTTGATTTTAACCCTTTAAACTCTGCAATAGAAACGGTCCGCCAGTGTCTACATTGGTATTTTTGCTTATTGTGATGTCATTTCTTGGAGTATCTTCAAATGCTTCATATCCCTAAAATCTGTTCACCCTAAGCTAAAAGGTTATGTAAGTCAATAAACCATAATGATCGACGCCTTCAACAAAATGATCTTCATCCTCACTGCACAACGAATCGGAGGAAAGCTCTTCTTCCTCGTAATTTATCGTCACCACAGGCAAACAAAAACCTCCAAAACCTCCTCGGTTGAGTGTCGTTTCTTCGCCATCGAGACAAAACAAAGACAAAAAAATACTCAAAAAAATACACCGATTAAAACTACAACTAAAAACTACTGACTCTAACTATTTCTCTCAGTCTCTCTCTCTCATCAACTATCGGCCTGTTTCTCTCCTCTGCTCTTCTCCACTCACGCCAATCCGTTGGTGCCAACACGCATCGGCATGATGACGGCGTAACGTAACGTAGTCACATCACCACGAGTGTACAACGCGATGACGCGAAAGACGGAAACCTGCAAAAACAATGAATGCTCGAGCTATTATGGTTTTTGTTTTAGATCGATTTAAACAGAATCACGCAAACAACGATCTCCCGCGGGACGTCCATTCTGAAAGGGTTAAGGCGTGTAAAGATATACACAGTAGATATAGTAGATATCTCAGAGTTTTATTTATTTCTGTGAAGAAAACTAAAAGGAGTTATTATTATTTTTATAGATTTGATTATTTAAGCTTTGAACACTGAATATTGCCAGAGCTTCACTTTGATAAACAACTATTAAAGCAAACAGAAGCATCAGGGAGAAGAAAACAATGAATCTGTCAAACAAAAAAAGCCTATTAAGTCTGTTACAGACACAATACAGACGGAAGATTGGACATAAAGTTCCTAAAAATATCAGATAAACTCGTCTCTGATCAATATTCACAGGAAATAATCAAACATTCATCCAAATGACTTGTTTTACACAAACTTCCTGTAGTTATTATTATTTAATATAATATGAGAGAACAGCGCCCCCTGTGTGTAAAGAACTGAAGAAGAAGACAATCATTTTGCAGGACTTTATCTGACAACCAGTTGTTAACTCTTCCACCGTGTTCTCATTATTAAAGAGATCGCTGCCTTTCACAGAGTCATACAGCACCGGTTCTCCTCCGACGGTCGGGTTTCAAACCAAACTAATTTGTCATTTTAATCAAAAGAAATGTTTTCAGGCTACTTCGTAATCAGTAATGTTTTATATTGTGTTGTATTGTTTTTTTATAGTAAACATGAACATTAGCTACGTAGCTAACTCGGCAATGTTGATTAATGTTCATCGTCTCTGGTAAATAAATAAATAAATAAATAAATAATTTCCAGGTGTTTCAATGACTGTAAAAGTGTCTGTAAATGTTTGCTGCTCGCAAGAAAACACAAAAACAACATCTTCGTTAGAAAAAATCAGTTAAAAGAGACATTTATCATACAGCTGAACTCAGAACATTAACGTCATTTTATATAGGACGCCACAAAAATATAAAGTTCTGTAATTAAAAGCAAAGATAAAGACAAACAACAACAACAACAACAACAACAACAGTAATAATGGAAACGCTGGTTAAAACTTTCTGTATGAACTTTTTAATAAAACACAGACACACACACACACACACACACACACACACACACACACACACACACACACACACACACACACACACACACACACACACACACAGGCGGATGACCTACTGAGGTGTTTGAGCTGAGGTTGAGGCCGGGGGCGGGGCAGGAGGAGGAGGACGAGAGAGGAAGAGGAGTAGGAGGATGATGATGATGGATTACCTCGTCCGTCTCGGCGCTGCGACGCGTCGACCACACAAACTCCATAATGGCCACAAAGACGGCGATGATGAGGCCGCAGATCAGAACCACGAAAATCCCACCGATGTTCTCCATCCCGAGACCTGAAAATATACAATGAGATATATTGATTAATACTATAAAATATATTGATTAATACTATAAAATATATTGATTAATACTATAAAATATATTGATTAATACTATAAAATATATTAATTAATACTATAAAATATATTAATTAATACTATAAAATATATTGATTAATACTATAAAATATATTGATTTAATACTATAAAATATATTAATACTTTAAAATATATTGATTAATTCTATAAAATATATTGATTAATACTATAAAATATATTGATTTAATACTATAAAATATATTGATTAATACTATAAAATATATTGATTAATACTATAAAATATATTGATTTAATACTATAAAATATATTGATTAATACTATAAAATATATTAATTAATACTATAAAATATATTAATTAATTCTATAAAATATATTGATTAATACTATAAAATATATTAATACTATAAAATATATTGATTGATACTATAAAATATATTGATTAATACTATAAAATATATTGATTGATACTATAAAATATATTGATTTAATACTATAAAATATATTGATTGATACTATAAAATATATTAATACTATAAAATATATTAATTAATTCTATAAAATATGTATTGATTGATACTATAAAATATACTGATTAATACTATAAAATATTGATTTAATACTATAAAATATATTGATTAATTCTCTAATATATATAGAAATACTATAAAATATATTGATTGATACTATAAAATATATTGATTAATTCTATAAAATATATTGATTAATACTATAAAATATATTGATTAATTCTATAAAATATATTGATTAATACTATAAAATATATTGATTGATACTATAAAATATATTGATTAATTCTATAATATATATTGATTAATACTATAAAATATATTGATTAATTCTATAAAATATATTGATTAATACTATAGAATATATTGATTGATACTATAAAATATATTGATTAATTCTATAATATATATTGATTAATACTATAAAATATATTGATTAATTCTATAAAATATATTGATTAATACTATAAAATATATTGATTCATTCTATAAAATATATTGATTAATACTATAGAATATATTGATTAATACTATAAAATATATTGATTAATTCTGTAATATATATTGATTAATACTATATATTTAACACCACGGATCCTACGAGTTGTTTACTCTTTTCGGACGTTAGCATACTGACAGCTAACCGTTAGCATACATTGGCTACCAGTTGGTGCATGTTGCTAGCTAACGTTTGTACAGTCAATAACTGGTTAACTTCAACAAGCAGATGCTGATCAATGCTAATTATGCTAAAAGCCCAACATGTGCAAGTTAGCACCCGGCAGTTTCTGCAGACCCAAACTGAACATTTCTGGGTCCATGCTAACACTGTGAACTGATAATATGATGTTATAGAATCCTTGAAGCCACTTTTTAATAAAACAAACTGAACTTTGGCTCCTAATTAGTACAACAACCACATCACTTCTCTCATTATAGGCACTCATTCTCCAGAGAAAGGACTCCAACGCTTTTAATTTGAAGGATTTCCTTTTTTTTTTATCTTTATGAGGACAAAGGAAACACACACACACACACACACACACACACACACACACACACACACACACACACACACACCGACGCACACACACACACACACACACACAGAGAGACTACTGTATACTGTGCAATCAGCAGCAAAGAGACACTTGATTAGTCTTAATGGGTCTTAACAGGATCTTAACGGCTTCACACACACACACACACACAGACACACACAGACACACACACACACAGACACACACACACACACACACACAGACACACACACACACACAGACACACACACACACACAGATCATTTCGCTCTGGGAACAAAGAAAGCTGCTCGAACAGATGACAGAGAGCAGCTGATCAATACTCATACAGGACTCAAATTCCCATAATGATCAGCTCGTAAAACACACGATGTGAGCGAGGACGTCGATGAGCCGAAGCCGTCTCGTCTCGTTACAGTGAGACAGGACCAAAACAAAGAAACACATGTACGTGGATCAATAATGGAAACGAAGGATAAATTCAGACGTCACAATCAATGCAGAAGACAGAAGACAGACGGAGACAATGGATGATAAAACGATGGCGGTTCTGTTGCATCAGGGGAGGATGTTTTTATGTTTTACACCTTGTGAAATATAAAGCGAGACAGAGACGAGCTGACGACTCTCAGGATGTCGGTCGGTCGACCTTTTGATTCAGATTAAAACTCTTTCATGGTTCAGAGTTAAATATCTATACCTGCTAAAACTGATTATAAAACTACAATTCCCATCAGCCCCCAGCTGTACTTTAAGAATAAGAATAAGAATAATCTCCAGTAGTTCGGTGACATATTGCAGAAAAAGTTGCTGTGATCGGACAAAATTGCAAGGTTGCACCAAATTCATAAGAACTGGGTGAATGTGCATTAATTATTGGGATCACAACTTCCTGGACAGGATTCACACTCTTTAAGAAATAGTTTTCCAGGAGTCATACAGGACAGCACTCGTTCATCCGGTGGTCATTGTTTATGAGACAGGTTCCTCTGTTGTTTTCCTCTAATATAACATTAATTTGTCCTCAGCACAGAATAATAAATACAACACATTTCCAGAACAACGTAAATCTTCACCAGGATATTCGTTCAATTCATTTCCAGGTGTTTCCATGATGAGGTAGCCTAACGTACTGTAACATCTTTTCCTTTAGCTAACCAAGGAGAAACTTTGACCTCAGCAAGCTTTATTTCGAAAGTCTAACCAGACGTTGTGTATCTATTATTGCCAATGTGACACTGCCACGTTGGCCCGGCTTTGAGGTGATAACGGGTTGGTGTTAGCAGGGTTAGCTCTACTGTCCGTCTGTTCAGTGTGACGCTCGTGCTCTCACCAACCTTTGGCTCGGTGGTCCTCCTCTTTGGGACACTGTCCTCCCTCCCACCAGCGTCTCTTCAGGATCTCCAGCCTGTTGCTCTCCTGCAGCTGTAAGATCCCCAGAGTGATCTCGTCTCTGTACGGAGAGCCTGCGGAGGAAGAGCAGCCGTCAGTGACCTTCTTACAGGCCAGTGTAAGGTCGATATCATGACATCAACCTTACACCGGTTCTCACTTGTGGAAGTGAACTGTGGACCAACAACAATGGAAATTATGATCCAGTGTTGCCTTTTAGTTCATGGTCACACTGACTGACTGACAACTGTAAGAACAAGGTTTTATGGACCCCGGACACACAAAAGCACCTTTACCCGTCTGATAGGAGCAACGCACCCAGACTGAAAGTGAAACCCTACAGTTGTACTGACTCTTTGTGTCTCTTTGTTGTTGTTATGTCTCTCTTAAAGTTTTGTGTCTCTCTGTAGTCAGTTTGTGTGTCTTTGTGTAATATTACTATTTAATAGTAGTCTAGTGTTTGAATTGATGTTAAAATCACGTATCTGCTATCACAAAATCCTGCGGTTGGTCTGTTTGTATGAATCACACCAGCAGACTCTGGCAGGGCAGCGGACTGAAACTCTCCTTTTCAAGAGGTCTTGGTCCGGTTCAGTGCCTCCAGGTTTCGATCCGTAAAAAAAACGAACCTACTCTTAAATTCTGCTGTTGGTCGTAAACTGTTAGGAAAGCAATCTCATGAGTGACATTCATATTTATACAATATTTGGTAACCACGGTAACACGTCTGCAGGTCAGATTTTAAATCCGTAATAAACCAAAGGATCTTTCCAACCCCTGCAGGTCTGCAGACCGCATTAAAAGTAAAGACGCTTTCCAGCACATTCGGCGCTTGTGTTCAGCGGTTTTATGGACGGATAAAGTAAATAAAACCCACAGTTCACCTGCTCACCTCGTCTTTGTTAAACATGTGTCTGACAGGCACAGCGAGGGCTTTACTGCTGCGGCTCTGTGGCTTTTTATATTGACATTTTCCTTCCAGGGAGCACATGTGCTGATAAAGTGAGAAATGTTAAGAGAGCAGAGAAAGAGACGGACCGGCAGCTGCATCTTTCATACAAATCAAACAAATCTGAATCTCATTTTACACCTGAGGTCTGAGCTTCTGCTGTGTTTAAAGCTAAATATAGACCTCTGTGAGTGGTCTTTTTCGTGACTGGCTATGAATTTGAAATTTGTTTAGCAGCAGCAGCAGCATCGCCTCAGCCGCCGGCCGAGTCTCCTGGAGATTAAATTCAGTTTAACAACAGCTTATATGTTTCGTGGGCGTGATGCCGTTAAACCAGTAAGTAGCAATGAAATCATCTTTCTATCATCGGTAAAATGGCCGATTCACCTCTTGGTGAAATGCAGACTTTAGGACACAAGTAACTGAGAAAGGCACACTGATTGCGGTTGCTGGGGAGCTAACCGCTAACACATGCTAGTGCTAACCTCTTTTCTTTTGTTCTCCGGATTTCATTCAATAAAGAGTTATTGAAGAGGAGAAAATGAGGTTGATATAATAAGTTTACAGAGCCTGATGTTGGTATTAAAGAGTTTAAAGGATCTGAAGCCACCAGGGGGCGATAGAGATATTTTGGCTTCACTTTTGGAGAGCGGTTACATCTTCTGTCTTTATATATGTCGACCCCACGTTGAGAAATCAGCACTTTAATGCTTCTGATCTGCATTTTTATGAAGAAATAAAAGTTGCAGTAGTTTAAACTCGACCACAAAATAAGAAATAATTCCAAATATATCAACGTCAGGACCGACCTGTACAGGGACCCAGATTTAAGTTTCATGTCCTGTGAGTTATTGACAGTGCTACAGAGAGAGATGATTCAGCTCTATGTTAATATTTGAGTCTATATTATATCATATTAATACCTGTCATTAACATTCTGCCCACTGCAGCTGTAAAGAATGAAGCTTTCGTCCTCGCTTCCTCTCTGCCGCTCTCGCACATTCATCTTCTTTCTTATTCCATTAAAAAGTGACAGTGACTTTCACAGAATGACAGACAGCAAGAAGTGTCTGGGTGTCTTTCAAGGTAAAAGATAAGTCTTTGACAAAATGATGACACTTTCACTGGTTAGATGCTCCATATTTTAGAGATACAGAGTGATTCATTCGTCACCTCCTGACTCTCTTTTCTTTTCTTGCTTAACAGAATTGATAAATGCCTTTGTGTGGAAACTCTTCCCCTGAAGGAGAAACACCCCTTTGGGCAAATCTCCAAAAGAACGATCAACTTCAGTTCAAAAAATCATCCTTTTCTGCTTCTACGAACAATGGAGACTCTTCAGGTTTGTTTCCTTCCCTACACAACACATCCCTCTCTTCAGCCTTGTCTCTTGAATTTTATTCAATTGTTTTTGTGAAATTACCTTTTGCAAGATACTTTTAAGTAACATTTTCGAAGCTGTACCTTTATATCGTAGTATTCACTTACTAATGTGAGCTGAATACTTCTTCCACCCTGCAGTCGTCTGTGAGTTAAATCAATTTCATCGTTTAATAATGAGCCTGTCTGTTAGCTGTCTCTTTGTGTCTCTTTGTGTAATATTTGGGAGGATGTGGCTTTTTATTGGGGAACAGCTGGAGTACACAGACTAGGACACAAGCTCAAGTTTTCCCTTTACCAAGAACTGAGACCTTGGGTTTGTTTCTTTTCTACATAACACTTTTCTTTCCGTTCTCTTAAACTTCTTAATGAAATTACCCTTTGCAAGATACTTTTAAGTGACATTTTGTGTCTTTATATCCCATTTTTGCCACTTTTTCTTATTAACATGATCTAAATACTTCTGGTCATCGGTGTTTGTGTTGATCTCATCGTCTCTCTGACTGACTCGAAACAGTCGTACGGTTTCCCTTGTTGGCAGTTTATTAATGTGCCTCTGTGTGTTAGCTTCATATCTGTAGCTGTGTGTGTCTGTTTTAACCTCCTCCTGAAGCCTGCTGGTTACAGAAGGACAGCCAGAGAGTTTTGACCTTCAGTCAGGCCTGCTGCAGTATTACAGCGCTGCCTCAAAGTCTAAAGCCTCTTATGCATCAATAGCCGTGTTCCTACCTGACATTAAAATGCGTCTTGGTGAGCCGATCACAAGTGGACAGTTTTAAGTACATAAAACAGGCACTGGAAGGAGTCTCGAGAGACCACTTGTGATCTGTTGTCCGCTTTATATGCAAATAAACACTTACAAGGGCTTTACCTACTCAGGAGTTTGTCAGTCGAAGGTCTGTTATTTCTGTCCAGCCAATAAGTTGTTTGAATTTACAAGAAGGTCCAAATACTGAATTTCCCGTAGGTCTGAATGATCCTCCAGTAAACTCTGAAGAATTCTGACATTCAGCTGAAATTATTTGAAAAGAAAAGGGAATTAAATCACTAAAAGCCTATTGAGGTTTTGTTGGGTAAAAGAACGATGGTGGTCACGTGTCTGTTGACTTCAGGTTGAAATCAGCTGCGATTTTTCCTCATTTCCTCGCTGATGCTAATCGCTCACTGTCAGTCGGCGCCGTTAGCATGAGAGACGACGTCCTACCTGGGGCACCAGGCTGAGTCTGCTGCTTTTATTTTCATCACTTAACAGGAAGGTTGACTGACAGGCCGCTCTCCCAAAAAGCCCTCCACCTTTTCTTTTTTCCGCCTCCGTCTTCCCGCTGTTCCCTCTCCTCTCTCCACATCTGTTCCTCTATCCTCCATTAACTATGCTAATCTATGCACTAACACTTATCACCAGAAACAAGTCTGAGGCAGATGACGAGGCGAGGCCAGACACCGGCGAAAGCGGACCAAAGCCAAATTGGAATCAGGATGGATTTAATTTGCCAAGAACAGCAGCTGCATGAAGAATATGACCCGGTTAAAACAGAACCGACATACGAGGTGCCGGACAAATCATAACGCAGCCGCAATACATAACCAACAATATGTGACGTGACAGCACACTCAACTCAATTACACATAAACAAAGTATGAAGCACAAAGGCAACATTCATCTGGTGGAAATACTGGCAATTATTGGCCATTTATAGCCAGAGTTTATCTCTGATTGTTAAACAGTTCAGCAGTTTACAAGATTCAAAGGAAAAGTTCAGAATTTTGGGGAATTAGGTAACCAAGTTCGTTACCCAACCCTAGCTAAAGAATCCACGTTGTGGTCAATCGTAACCTGGCGGCTGCTCCACTCACCCAGAGGCATGCCGATGCCGTATCCTTTGGTGTCCAGCAGTCCTCCAATCTGCGTGAGGTTGCAGTTGAGGCTGCGGTAGTACTCGTTCATGGTGCTCTCCATCAGGAAGGCGTACTTGGAGTTGAGGACTCGCGCGATGCCTTCCTCGGTGCTCTTCACAAACACGCTGGGCTGCTTGGAGTACATGTAGTTCCACATCCGCTGGTACGTCTGGTACCGCGAGTTCTACAGGAAGAGGAAGAGAGAGGGTGGAGGTTGGGATGGTTGCATCTCTTTCACAGATGTAGAAGAGTGCCGGCACAACTTGTTTTAGAGCGAGGAACGATTAGCTCAACTTAAAATCTCACCATGAAGAAGGTCATTGTGGATCCTCCGTGGATGGTCCCGTACTGGATGTTGGTTTGGTCGGCCAGGTCGTCCGGAGACTCAATGGGAACCTCCATCCTCTGGACGGTGAGAAACGCCGCCAGGTTGGCTGTGTAGGACGAGATGATGATGAGGGTGAACGCCCACCTGAGAGGAGCAGAGAAGAAGAACAGCTTTAACCTTTATTTTACCCTGAGAAACTTTCAAGCCCACGCTCCTTTTTTCTTCCCTCCTTGCTTTTGATTAAGAGCTGCAAGAGGGAAGTAGAGAGAGACAGATGGAGAGCACTGCAGGAAACGTCAGGAGTTTTAGGTAAAAATCATCAACCTAAACATGAACTCCGGCTGCAGCAGAGAGGAGCAGGACACCTCCACCGAGGAAGAAATGAGACGGAAGTGATGAGCAAGGGAATTAGGATGAGAGAACAGGCAGAGGCAAACAGAGAGGGAGGGACGGGGAGAAAATGATGGAAGCTGATATTGGATAGGAGAGCGAGAAATAGCAGGTAAACCCCCAAAAATTTGGTTTTAGGAACGATTTAGTTTGAGATGTGGTGATAATCCTCACTTTTATACGATAGCCAATGAAATTGCAGATTGGCTGGAAGGTGCAAACCTATGAATCACGTGTTTGTTATAAGTTCTAAATTAAAGGTCCAGTGTGAAACATTGAGGAGGAATATAATACTCATAGTTTTCATTAGTGTCACCTGAAAATAACAATCATTATGTTTTTGATTATTATCGACAATGAATACTAAAATCTGAAATCTAACAGTCTCCTGTCACATTAACTATCAGTAGAAGAAAAAGATATTAGTACTGTTGAGTTTTAATCCATATTTTATCGTATAAATACAAGAAACAGTTTCTGTGAAATTTACAGTCTGTAATATGAAGAAAATACTATAAATGGCCGTTATTGCTATGAGATATAACAGTGTTTTACTTTTACTGTCACTGATTGACAGTTTTTTTTTTTACAGTGCATGATGAATGAACTTTGTCTTTACAAGTTTGGACGTCTTCAGTCCGACCAGCCAACAAACCAGTCGGACAGACAGAAATGAGTACGTTGCAGTCTGTGCCACAGCCATCATGAGTTTTTATGGGGCTAAGTGCCCGGCGAGGCTGAGAGCTGTCAGAGAGAAGATGCTGATGGCTCCTCCAGTCCCTCCAGTATCACTCCACCATCTGTCTGACAGCAGCTACTGGGAGCGAGGGAGGAGAGGGGAGGAGAAGGGAGGGAGGAGAGGACAAATTGGGAGAGTAATTGTAATTTCAGTCCCCACAACCAGCGGGAAGGACGGAGGTTCGCTTTGAATATTCTTCTTGTTGAAGTGAATATTTGTCACAGACGAGGTAATAAAAAACTCATCTCTGCAGTGTTTTAGTGGTGGTGGATTCTGGTTGAGAATAAACACTTGAACTGATGGAAACTAACAGAGGAGAGCGGCCAATGATGTGATAAAGTGATAAAAAAAGTCTGCAGTAAAATGCAGCCGCCAAAATAAAAGCAAAAAGGCTGAACAGTCAAACAAATTATCAACTAAAACACAGCGAAAAGGAAGAAACTGTTTCTGAGGAAGAACACTGAAATATAGTAATTATAGGAGCGTGAAACTGTACAATTCAACATGTAGAATAACCAATAATAAATTAATATCTTACTTTCACAAAAGGTCCTATTTTCACCATAATTTAAACACGATTGTACTTTGCAGGAAATAAAGTAAAGTTACCAAAAACATCAAAAGTCATCCAATCAAAACCAAACATATCTGAACTGCTGCTCTCAGACCACTACTGTACCACTACTACTCTACTGTACGTATTTATTCAGTTAAATTGAGCTCCTCCTGCATTTATCACTTGCAGTCGACTTTTCATAACACATCGTACTTTTGGAGCTGTAGAGTTGCACATGCTCAGTACCGGTATCAGCCACTCATAATGTGCATTTATAAACCCTAAGGTCGAACACATGCGCTCCTTCATCGGCCTTCTGCATGTCCGATACGCAACATAATATACCACGTTTTCCTCAGGAAGCTGATTTTGTGCCTAAACCAAACTGCGACCGTTTCACGACATCAACAAGTCTGACTGGACGTTATTACGTTAACCTACAGCGACATATTGTGAAAGCGCTGACAAAGCTGTAGTATTTGGTGAGCTGAGCGTGAGAACATGTTGGTTGGACAGAAGACATGAGAGGAGGAGAGAAGACACAAAGGAAGAGGAACTGACTTCATCAGTTTACCATCTGTTCACTTTCAGCTAATGTTCCTGAGGAGGGACGGAGAGGAGCTGGATACTACATACGTATATATACATGATTTTAATTTGAAGGGAAGCAGCTGTGACATGAGCAGACTGAAGTTTTCTTTTCAGCCTCTGCAGGTCTCCTCCACATCTGCTCACCACGTCCCGCTCAAACATCACAGCCACAGAACAGCTCAATAACGAATTAAAGTTATTGAGCTCATTTGCTTTTTCATCTACACAAGTGGTGGAAACAGAAACAAGACGGCACAAAACTGACTTTTAGTTCCTGGTTTAGTTCCTAGAACATAAAAAGACACCTGTATCGGGCCCCTCCCTCCGGTACCTACCAGACCCCGCTGACGCAGCGGGTAGACAGGGCCCGGGGCATGATCTCTGAGCCCTGCTGCATGAAGCCGCCCACCGGGAACCACAGACTGTTCCCCAGCGTGTACTGGTTCTCCAGGACGTCTCGCCGCTCCCGCAGACACGGGTGAGGGTTGTACCACTCGTAGGGGCTGAGCCTGCAGGGGGGGGGACAAAAGTAAAGCAGTTAGAAAAGTCAGAAGAGACAGCTCAGACAGAAAGCACCGGATCCACCGAGAAGATCTTCAGTACAGAATGAAACTGCTGTGAAGCGGAGGGAGTGAGAGCAAGTTGACCGGAGACACAAACATGAACCACCTCTTGACAAGACAAGGTGTCTCCATGCCGTCTTCTGATTTGTTGTAACAGTGTTGTTGTGTTTAGAGAAATTCTAATAAGATTTATTGTGATAATAAACTGCTTTCCCACAGATCTTACAGATGGGACTTTCCTTCCTTCTTATAGAATCCAAATGTCTTCCAAACTTTAGATTTTAGCTTTGATGGTGGGCTGTAAACTGTGTCGGGGTTACTCTTGTTGCTCTTATGGCGTTGACCTTTTACCTTTCAGGAGAGTGGAGATGAATTCATAACTTTAGAATCAGACCATCGACCAGTTCAACCGGTTTTAGTACTTTACTTTGTGTAGAATTTTCAAAATAAAATACCATGTGCAGACTTTCATGCAACATCAACATTGTGACACCAGACCTGAGGTCAATCAGGAGATTTGACACCACAGACAAACGAGAAGTTCATCTTAGAATTGGAGAAACACCATTTTGTGTATTTAGTATACAAAATCCACAGTAAACAATGCAGCAGTGAAGACGCTGAAAATGCGGATGATGGAGCACTACACTCCAAATGACAAAACATTTATTGGTCAATTGACTGCACTATTAGAGGGCATACACAAAGTACTTTTATTATCCCACAAAGTACGTCTTCTGAGATTTGAACAGAAAACAGCTGAGATGTTAAATGTGTTTGTCCTACCTGTCTCAGACAGCGCTGAGAGAAATTCATACTTTCACACAAAAGGAAACAACTTAATGACTGTGTTTAGTCGCTCGACTGGAGAGTAAAACAGTCATTTTAATGTTTGAACTACGAAATTACAGGCAGAGAGAGAGAGAGATGGAAGAGAGAGCTGCACTTACTAAGACTGAAATAAAACAAAATGAACACAACAAAACACATTCATGTTATTTTGTCTCAAAGAAAAACACTTAATGATCCTTTCCTGTTATTTACGGGTATGAATAGCTAGTGTTGAGTTCTGTGCTTTGGCGAGCGCTCACACACACACACACACACACACACACACACACACACACAGGCTGAGGCAGGTGTGTTACCTGGCGGCGAGGAAGAGGACGCAGCTGACAGCGAGGTAGGCCAACAGCATGAAGAGCCAGACAGCCGGAGAGAACGGATCCAGGAAGGAGAAGTAACCTGGTTTACGACCCTGAAACACACACATAAACAAAATCCGTCTGTTGGGTTTCTCTGAGACTGAACCTTTGCCAATGTCCTAAAATAAAAGGTTAAAATAAAAGGTGTAACTAATTAAAGACTCAGCTGGTCTTCTTCATCCAGACCGTGTTGGATGTAGTCTGACTCACAGGAAGTAGGCTGCCGGTTTAAGCCATTAGCTAGTCCGCGGCGCCGCTAACAACGGGATGTCCCGTCCCCAAAAATGGACGTCCCGAGCAACGCCATACAGGCAGAGGCGGGTGTGTTACTGTTTGCACGTCACCGCCCTAAAGACCTTTGTTGGCATTCTCCTCCCCCTCCACCTGTGCACTTTCTTGTTGCTAACGGTACTAATGTAAACAAGCCAGCAGCTGTTTTCTTTTGTGGGGTGTTAGAGCCGAAATCTTTTTTATTGTGTTTATATGTATCAAATCATTTGCATGCAGAAATGGATTGTATTATTGGAGTATCATTTATTGGACTGTAAAGCGTTGTGGATTGGTAGAGCCACAGAGAAGGTGTGTGCTGTTAGACTGCACCTTTAATACAGGTGTGTCAGTTATTTTCAGTTATTTTACTGTATTTTTTGGTGTTCCAGCTGTAATATTACCTTTCTTTTAACAGTGTGAAGTTTAAAAGCGATGATGATCTTGCACACTGACGTACATATCTCTAATCCCAAGTATTCGTTAATGGGGAGGCGTCGAACCACGTGAACTTGGAAAAACATAAAGTTTAACACCAGTGGAAGTTCTAATGTCTCCAGCTGGCAGCAGTGAATTGTGATAATGACCATCTGCCGTTCACGGCACTCTGAAAGCTGTCAACGTCTCGGCCTCAGAAACACAACCCGCACTTTCTGATTGACAGCCGTGCATTTTGGAAATTGACACTCCTGGAATGTTTTTTCCTTGTTCAGCTTGTCACATTTCCTCAGCACGTAGACATGTGAGCCAAATAAAACAGCCAAAACAAGATAAAACCAGCAAATTGCAGTTACAAGCTTTTCAAGTGTTAATGACCGTCAGTTGATGTTCCCCGGCGAGGCGCTTCCCATCGACCCATTTCATCACCTCCCCTCCCCTGCTGTTTATGATGCCCCCCTCCGTCTATTGGAAAAAGGTTTTGGCAGCGAAGGCGGTCGAGGAACTCCCAGAATGGACCCAATTAAAGCAGACGACTGGAGCTGTAATGGAGGCAATCAACTGTGTTTCTGCTTTTTGTCCATTTTGGCTCATTTAAAACACACCATGTGAAGCCGGGCCAAAGGCTTGAATCTGATCAGACTGCTTTGTACCACAGAATCAGACAAGATATCTCGCGTAGACATGTGGATCAAAAGAAAAGCAGGCAGGTGACAGCAGGTACATCCAATTAATCTGTATCACTCCCATGTTTGTCATATCTCCCAGTGTGGTGTTAAAGCTGCTTCAAGAGATATTTGTGACATTAAAACCGAATCAGAAACAACTCTGTGTAATGTTAGATCCTAAATCTACAAAACAACTTCATTCGATTACAGCATTATGATTCTGAAATGAATCACTGTTATTAGTTTTGCTGTTGTTGTCTAATGGATTGATGGATTGATGGATTGATGGTTGATGGGTTGATATTCGCGTTTTCACATTTTATTAATTCAAATTTCTTTCTGGGAGAAAATATCCTCAATACTTTATTGATCTGCAGTCTTTTAAACTGAGTGTAATTAACAACAAGTGGGCTAAAACATGGCTCAAAACTACTGAACGTCGCTGAAGGTTATTTGAGTTTATAACATTTATACTGGTTTAAACTGTAATTTAACTGGTCTGACACCACAAGTAACAACATAAAGTTGATTCGATTGTTGTGTAGATGTTTCTCTGCAGTCTGATAAAGAACAGAGAGCAGGAACATCACAAAGTTAACCAAACAGCAAAAACCTGATATCCTCCAACACTGTGATGTATTTCGTTTGTTTGCCGTGTTTTGGATGTTTTCTATCTCAGCAGGAGGTCATGTTATGTTTGTACTTGATAAATAACAGACAGTAGATCAGATGGCCACAGTCTGCAGAGCTTGTTCCAACCTGACAGGGTATCAGAGAGGTGAGTTTACTGCATCAGGACAGTTCAGATGTGTGTCAGATAAACTGTCGATCATCCAAACTCAATACGCTCACTTCTCAAGACCTTTCCTTGTAGTTGTCTCTGCTTTAAAGTTTTCACTGCAGGGCACTGAAGTAAAGCACATGTGGACAAAGAGTATTTTAATACAGAATAATAGATAATAGATAAGATACAAATTGACTCCAGCTACTTCAGTCGGGTCTGTTGTACAATAATCATATGCTAGTCTTTCTGGAGACATTGTCTAAACTGGATTTAGCTAAACTTTCCAAAGACCTTTGGACATCTCTGGGAACTACAATGTTAAATATTGTTAATTTATCACTTGCGACTGGCACTGTTCCCACCATTTGTAGGACTGCTAATGGTAAATGATTAATGGACTGCACTTACATAGTGGCTTTATAGTCTTCCAAACACTCAAAGCGCTTTACATGCCTTATTCACACACCAGCATCGGGAGCAAAGTGGGGTTCATATCTTGCTCAAGGACACTTTGACATGCAGCAGGAGGAGCCGTTGATCGAACCGCCAACCTTTTGATTAGTGGACGACTCGCTCTACCTCCAGAGCCACAACCACGCCTGTTACTGCTGTGGTTAAAGCTCTACTTAAGAAACCACACCTTGATCGACCAGTCTCTAACCTTCCCTTCATTTCAAAGGTATTAGAAAGCGTTGTGTCTCAGCAACTTTCAGCCCACATAATTAACAGCAATCTTTTTTAACCGTTTCAATCTACTTTCAGGCTCTGAAACTGCACTTAGTATAGTGGTAAATGATGTTTTGCTTTACTATTGATTCCAAATTCGACCTCTGTGCTTCTATTACCTGATCTCAGTGCAGCTTTTGATACCATTGATCACAGTAAACTCCTACACAAAAAACTATTTGGTGTCTCTGGCCTGGCTCTCGCATGGTTAAAAATCGTACCTATACAAAACAACACAATGTTTTCCTGATTTCCTGCATAATTAAATTAGTATTTTCTGAATATGGAGAACCAAAGGGCTCTGTTCTCTCCCCTCTGGTTTTCTCTATATATATCAACTCTTGGCCAAATAATGCATTTATGGAAGAAATGTCCACCTCTACACTGATGATACTCGGCTGTATGTGCCTCTAACATGCCTCAACATGGACACAAGCTTGATCAGGTAACAGTAACTCTCACAGTGTGTGAAGGATGGGACTTTTAGCTGCTGATGGTCGGCCGGGTGTATGAATAGGACCTTGATACAGCTGCGATAACCCCGATCAATACTGCAAAGACTCTGGAGAAAGATAGCAGCGGGTAGAGACACGTCCATCTTTAAATGCTCCAGTTTTTATTTGAAATTTGTTTGAACGTGATTCCTTTTATTCAACTGTGGAGTCCTACAAACCAAACACTGCCTGTAGATACTGACTTTCAGGGATCTTTATTCAAAGGTTTAGCAGCCACCGTAGTTTCTCCCACACACTTCAGAGCCCATTCTCATTCCCAGGACGTCTAATACAGACGCGAGTAGTATTCAGTTAGTTGCAATCTTAAACTTCACCACTAGATGCCACTAAAACCTACATATTGGTCCTTTAAATACAGAATCTTCGACATGTGGTTGTGATGGAGTTGTTTACAGGCACTTCTGAAGGAGCAGTGATTAAAATAAGAAGTTGTACAATTAATTACTATTGCTGTTGAGGAAAAATTAAAACTTTTTTAATAATAAGTAATGAGTAATTGATTACGTTTCACTTGCCACTTGGGTTGATATGAAAAATTACACTGTTTTTACAGCTTTCTGAAAAGTTAAGAACTCAGAGATGTAACTGCAGCATTACAAGGAGCTGCAATAAAGACACATTTCAATGACAAAAATATGCATTAACACATGAAGACTTCCAACATTTAGAAAGAAAAATCACCTCATCAATCAAATACATGATATAATAATTTATCAACCTATTTGCGTCGTATGAGAAACATCAGGAGCAATCACACATTGTTCTAAATGACAACGATGTCACTTCCTCCTCCTCGAACACAGCTGGTATCTCCTCGTGATGATGTCAGCGCTCCTTGTGCGCGCTGTAATAAATTGTTGTGCCTCAGATGAATAGCGGAGTGATAATATATTGAGCACTAATGAATTGGGAGCAACAGCAGACATAAATTTACACTGTTCAACACCAGGGGGCAAGAACACGATGGCACTTCACTAATGTGTGTGCATAAGTCAACAGCTTGAGCAATTAAAAAGATTACCATCTTTAAGAGTGCTCGGAAGCTATTTAGATAGACGCTGTATGTGTGTGTTTGTTTTATATAAAGCTCTTTAGGCTCATAGACATGACTGCATTGTTTGTTCAGTTCCTTTTGGAGTCACAGAGTAGTTATGAGATTTAATGTGAGTTCGTTTGTGTGATGCGTTTAAGGACTTGTACACATTCAGACACTTTGTCAAAACGTTTTGTGCCTTCAAAACTCTCTAATCTCTAAGTTTAAGGGATTTTTCCTGTTTATTTTACATTTCTGTATATTTTAACTACATTGAAAAAGTTACAAACATATCTTGTGAATTTAAATGTCTAATGTTCAATAACGTGAAAAATAACTCTAAACTTTAAATAATCACAATCACATGTACATTTTTCCCATAAAGAGTTAAAATACATTTCTATAGGTTTTTTCACAGATATGTTTATTTAATACATTAAACTGTTAAATTCAAGTTTGATACTGTTAATACATTTCTAAATTACCGGTAAAAAAATGTGTTGTGTAAGTTTAAATGGATTTGTTTGGTAACTGACAGATATCTTGTATACTTATGGAAGTTTTAACAACCATAATGTTAAACAAATGTTGTTTATCAGTGTATAAGCATTGGTAAACTGTCAATATACAGTTTTTATCAGTGAAAGTTAAGTTTAAAAAATAAAAAAGTTTTCACAACAAAAACTAGTGGCAGTTCCAGATTTCATCTAGAGCCAGTATGAAAACGTATTAATATTATAATTGAATATTATTGAATTTCTGACAACAGTTCCTCCTCAGCGTTACACACTGCACCTGAAAGTTTGCAAATACACAAACTTAAAGTTAAGAATCAGCTGACCTGAGGAACAGAGGCACCCTAGCAGGATCAGTTAGACCACAATGAGTGTGTGCGCACCATCATCAGCACAGCCTGTTAGCCAGTCTATGTACTGTGTATAATGGTCACCAGCGCTGCACTTGATAACAGCAGCCTGCTGTTTAGTGGAGTGGATTTATGGCGTCTCGGTTCAAATCCCCCAATTCCGACCGGGACCAGGAAGTTCCTCCTTCAGATGGAGACCCCACGACTGCTCGTCAGCTCTGACAGCGTAAATCACCGCCGCAGGCCGTTACCGCGAGTAAAAATGTGCTTGTGGTCACCTTAATCCTTAAATAAACACTTAAGAGAATGAAGTTGGGACGGCACCGCGCGAGGACGGCCTCGGCTGTACACACATTAAACAGCTGACTGATCACTGAGTCAATACACTGAGGCGCTAACAGTGGACTGGATCAAACATGGAGGACAGATGGTGGAGGTGAATACTGATGAGCTGCAGATGTACAGTATCTGCAGGCAGTGACACTGCAGCACATCATCAGTCTGCCCTCGGAGGAGACGCATCATTATGTTCTAACGACGACCACCAATAAAGACACGTTTTATTAGCGTTTATTGTTATTAGCAAAGACACCAAGGCGAAATATTTTAGGACTCAAAAGCAGTCGTAGTTGCTACATGTCAGCACTTTACACTGTAAAAAGAAAGTATGTTTTCAGGGTTTTTCCCGTTTATTTTCTTTATTAGTTAAATACATTGAAATATTAATGAAATTACAAAAATAGCCTGTGAATTTATATATATAATGTAAAATAATGTTATATTTAACATTGTAATCTGATAAACGTATTATTTGTATAATAGCAGTGCTCGTCTGTATTTATAGGTAATATAATTGTTTTAAATGTGTAAATATCTTTAATTAAGCATTAAAAAGCCGGTGAACTTGGCATAGATATTGATGGGGATAAATGGACTAAGATATGGACTCAAACAAAGAAAATATCTGTGTGTAACCGTGCCTGATTGCTACAATTTAAAATCTCTCCGAACAAAAGACATAAAATGAACTCTACACTCTCACCTGCATATTTAAAATGTAAAATCTCAGTGGGCACCTATACTCATTGTATCTGGTCTTGTCCTAAAATTCAAGCATACTGGATGGATGTTTTGCAAGATCTGGAAAATATATTTGGTGTTGTGTTGCACATGGACCCTCTCTCTTTAATCCTGGGTTACCCCAGTCCAGATACTATTGTGGACGCTAACTCTGCCAGACTGTATAATATCCTCACATATGCAGCAAGGAAGAACATCTTTCTGTCTTGGATAAGTGACAAACCCCCTACTAAATCAAACTGGCATAAGATAATTATGGAATGTTTTCCCCTTGAGTACCTGACCTGTCTGCTTCACTCTTCAGAGGGACAGTTTATGAACATTTGGACTCCATATCTTCACTTTTCCAGCTCTACAGTGGCTTCAGTGCTTTCGAGTGTTGTCCTTGGCTAGCCTTTGGCTCTTTTCCTGTGTCTTGCTCATAACACTTGCAACCTGGTCATTTTAATGTTCCAGAATTGTGAACTGGGGTGTATTTTTTATTTCTTATTTTATTTTTTTTAAATTTCCTATTTGGGGGCATGTGAGATGTAAATGTGTCTGTGACTGTCTAGACCAATGTTGTACTGAGCGTTGTTGTTGTTTTATCGTTGTGGTTATGTTAATATATAAAAAGCTCAATAAACATATTTCAGAAAAAAAAAAAAACATTAAAAAGCCACAAAATTACATTTAGATTTTTATGTAAAATTAAAGCCCAAAACTGTATTTTAATCATAGAAAATTACTATATTTATAGTTATTTTTTAGGTTATTTTACAGCCAGCCAGACAACCCCAGCTTAGCTTAGCTACAGTTAGCTAGCTGGATGCCCCTGTCTCACATCACTCTTGGCTAGTAGAAAGCTAACGTTAGCTTTGTACCGCTACATCATTTATTGTTGGCTAACATCACCACCGTTTTTTAGAGGTTAGTATCATGGATCACGTTAGCTGGGGAAGCTAACGTTACAAACTAGCCACCACTCAGATAGTAGTATTTTTGAGATTACAGTAATTATTGCTGTTTACACTGATAAAAACTGTATTTTAACAGTTTACAATGCTTATACACTGATAAACAACATTTATTCAACGTTTTTGTTGTGAAAACTTCCATAATTATACAAAATATCTGTCAGTTAACAAAAAATCCATTTAAAATTACACAATAAATATTTTTACTGTGATTTTAGAAATGTATTAAGAGTAATAAACTTGAATTTAACAGTTTAATCTATTAAATAAACAGTAAATATAATATAAATTATAGATTTGCAAAATGTATTTTAACTGTGTTCTAGGCAGATATTATGATTATTTACAGTTACAGATAATTTACGTTATTATTATTGTTATTATTTTGTAATCTTATTAATATTTACATGTAAAATAAACAGGAAAAAACCCCGTAACCTTGCAGATTTATTTTTTACAGTGTACATGATCGGCCTGTCCCATGTTTTCCACCTGAGCCTCCGTCAGACTCACAGGAGGTTGAGAGGCATCAAGTTCATGTTTCACATTCCAGTCAGGGAGTCACAGATCCTCCCTCGGAGGATGAAAAACTCATATTTTTCAAGCAGCAGCAGCAGCTCCCGTCACCTTCCCCCCAACTGAATCATATCATAAAGCAGAAACCAGCATAAGAAGAAACATGCCCTCTATCTGTGTCCTCAGCTCTGCTTTTATCTGCTCTCCCAGCTCTTCTCCCGCCCTAAGTGATCTCTCTGGTCGCAGGAATATTTGCTGTTGCTTCGTCCTGAACTCAGAGTTTGACTGTGTGACCCGAGCAGTCGGGGGACTGTTGTTGCCTCCAGCAGCAGAGCTCCCGCTGAGGAGGCTGTTTGTGACCGCCGCGCTTTCTCCCCGAATTCATCAAACCGCCGGCCGGACGGAGAGAGACACAGACAGGAGATGTCAACAGGTGCGAACGCCTCGGTCAATTAGTTAAAATTTGAGTCGACTCTGCCGGCAGATCGCAGAAATAAATGGAGCTTTTTTTTTGCGTCTTATTTTGAAGAAGACGGACAGCCTGTCGGGCTTTTTCAGAACAAGTTGCTTTACGGCCGAATCCTCCTTTAATGTTCATCAGCTGGAGATCAGCAGGAAAATTCACCCAAATCACAGCAAACATTTATAGCAAATTACTGCTGGAGCCTGAATCCAAGGAGCCAGATTAGAGGGTCATCCAGATATCTTAAAGTCCTGGGCTAAGTTGGCTAACATTAGCTGTACGAGCTAACGGCATATAGCATTACAGTTAGCTTCTTTTAGCAACATTTCATCTGGAAACTCCATAAATCGCCTCGGTACCGCTGTCGTGAAACTATCCTCTGTCTGTCTCTGAGGTTCACTGGGAGGCTGCTGAGCCCCGTTCAGTTGCTAACAGTTAGAATAATTGAGGCAGAGCAGCCGGAGGACGTCAGAGGGACAACCAGACAATATTCTCTCCATAAAATATGATCCAGTTTCAGATCCAGGTGAATGTCAGGATATTATTGGTTGAAATCAGTTAATTCGTGCTGACGTAAGCACGCGTCACATTTAGTTTTACAGGAAGAAATGAATGAACTCACCAGATGAACCCGGTAGAGGATGCTGATCCCCAGCGTCATGAAGGGTTTGGAGAAATCGATCACCTTCTCTCTCTCCGAGGTTATGGTGAAGCCAGCGACCGCCAGATCGGCTTTCTATAGAGAGAGAGAGACAGACAGCAAGAGAGAGAGACGGAGAGTGAGAGACAGACAGACATAGAGAGAAAGTGTAATTTAGCAACAGCAAAGGTTTTTATTTTTAGCCAAAAATGTGACTACCTGAGCGGAGGAGGGATTTCAAACAATAACTTTTTATGTCTTCTGAGTGGAATTTACTCCATAACTATTTAGTAGTTGTGTAGTTAACTTTCCTTATTGGCTGTAAGTTTACTGAACTGAGTGCATATACAGTATGGTATATTTAAAGAACACGAGTGGGATGAACTTAATTCATAAACAGTTTGACATCATCTGTTGGGTCTCCAGAGAAACACATTAAAGTTCTTTATTTGTTCACAACAATTACAATAAAAACATTCATTCTCCCTCCAACAAACACTATTTATAAAAAGAAAATCATAAGACACAATACAGGAATAAAACAGAATATGTATGTAGACAGGTTTGAACACATCATCCATTTGTGTCAATTTAAAACAAATTAGCTTCTGAGCTCTAACTAGCTACCAGCCAACATTTATATATATGGATACTGCAATATTATTCCATCAAGTTAATGCAAAACTGAATCCAACAGAGAACACAGGACAAGTGATTTACAGAGATTTCATATATATGAGATTTAAACATTATTTTAGCAGCCTCTGCCTGTGTTGTATCGCAGCCTCTCTGTGGTTTGTTTCCATAGCCGGTCTGCTCCGACTGAAACTGCTGTTTTTATCATCTACGTCGGTGAATTAAGGATTTATTTCCACCAAACCAGAGTTGGTGATTGTTGGAAACACTAACAGAGACGCTTTTAGTGAGTTTAATTCTGTTTCTGTCCACTTTGAATGAAGTTACGATGATCTGAAGGTAAAATGAGTGTTTTTGTCTCTGGAGTCTGGTGGAGAGTGATAGTGATATTACGGCTGTTTGTGGTTAAACTAAAGGTCTATCTCTGTAGGGATCCTTTCCATAATGCTGTCAGACACTGACAATAACAACCTGAGTCTGTCAGTGGCAGAAACTTCTAGTGGACGGACTTTGACGGGCACAATTGTCCCCGAGGATTAGCATTAGCAGCCATAGCAGCCTATTTTCTCACTTAACTGATTAATTCAATTCAATTCAATTCAATTTTATTTGTATAGGGCCAATTCATAACAGAAGTTATCTCAGGACACTTTTCAAATAGAGCAGGTCTAGACCGAACTCTTTATAACATTATTTACAGAGACCCAACAGTACCACCATGAGCAAGACTTTGGAGGCAGGGGCAAGGAAAAACTGCCTTTTTAAGATTGATTAAGGGTTAATTTTACAGTTGTGGTTTTGATGAGTTTTATTTTCTGTCAAGTTGAAGTGTGTTTTACAATTATGTGCTAGTTAAAATTACTAGTTTTTTCAATGGAGTCTGGTGGGTGGTACGGGTCATTGTTTTAATCTGAGATGCTGGAGTGTGACATCTAGTGGCAAGATAGTTTCCTGTATAATAACCCTTTAAATGAAAGTGGATTGGAGGATGAGGAAGGGAGGAAGAGACTCAGTGTGAGTGAGAAAAAAGACGAGTAAGAAATGAGGAGGAGGATGTTAAAAAAAACATCAAAGAAGAGACAATGAGAGGAAATATGGAAGAGGTCAACGAGAGGAGAGAGGGAAAAAAACGCCGGAGAAAGACCGAAGAAGAAAGGAGGAGTCAATTGGGGTTAGGCGTCAAGGACATGAAAGAGAGAAGAAGAGGCACAGTAGCAGATAGAACAGAAAGTATATTTAAATTGATCTAATATTAGTCTAGTACATTTGAATAAACAGAATGAACAAAGTGCATAAAAATGAAACAGATTTTCATTTGTTATTCTGTTCCTAACTGCCTAATGGCTCCTAATTTATTCTGTAATGAGCTGAACAACCTCCAGTGAATTACACTCATGTTCAACTATTTTGCATTAACAGAAAACACAATGCCTTCAGGAATAATGTTTTTTTATTATTCCTGTAATGACACACTCTCTGGTTTATTTCCTCTCGGCTCGGCGTCACTGTTTCAAAACCTCGTCAATGAGCAATATTCATGTTATTAATTAAATCAGTTAGTGTGTCACTTAAATATCAGTCAGTGATGCTCAGAGTTTGCAGCTTGTGGCTGATGGTGAATGTTTTAAAGCTCCAGTGTGGAGGAGGATCTACTGTAAGATATATAATATTCATAGGTATGTTTTCATTGGTGTTTAATCAGCTGAATACAAGAATCATTGTCTTTCTGTTACCTGAAAATGAGCCCGCCTAATTACGCACAAGCCTAACCCCATTGTTTTTAACAAGGTCATTTTCAGTGCTGTTTCCTTGGTGTTAAGCTGTTTCGTTATGGTTAAGAGGTTTTATTAGCATTAAGATGTTTCCTTAGTGTTAAGCTGTTTCCTTAGTGTTAAGCTGTTTCCTTAGTGTTAAGCTGTTTCCTTAGTGTTAACAAAGAGATGCAGTTGTTGACCTTACCAGCATTGCTGTACGAAAGGTTTTAGAAATGCTGCTGGTGGTTGCGGTCACGCTTTAAAGCATCAATGTAGTTATTTTCATACAATTATTTCACATATTTTATTGTATACCCCTTGGAAAATATACTCAGTGGTGGGCACGGCCATGTTCACCAGAGGTGGCGGTACAAAATAAGGGTATTCATGTGGACAAAAAATCAGAAGTGCCAGCCCATTTGAGGCACTGTCTTGCGTCCATCAGTAGGATCGAGAAAAACAACAGAAAAGAAAAACAAGTCTGGCATTTGGAGACATTTATCAGTTGTTACTGATACATTAAAATAACATCTTTTCACCTGCAAGAAGGAGAAGACATGAAATCTCTATTATGTGGGAGTGAATGGTCCCACGCAGGGCTCTACATAGAGGGACTTGAATGGTAAATGGACTGTACTGATGTGCTTTACACTACATTCACACAGTGATCACACAGGCAAAAGGCAGCAGGAGGAGCCTGGTGGACAACCCGCTCTACCTCCTGAGCCACAGCCACTTTAAGTTGGGGATATGCAAACATGCCATTGTATGCAGACGACACTGTTTCTTATTGAGTCCAAAATTGTCATGTTTGCAAACTTTTCTTGAACTTCTGGAGCTTTTTTCAAACTATTCTAATTTGAAGCCAAATTATGAAAAATGTTAAACTCTTAGGATTTTGGGAGTGAAAATCATTAGTTAGTTAGTTAGTAGTTAGTTATTATGCTGATTTCTTTGCTTATCATTAATCTTAGATTAGGGTAAATAATATTTAATTTATTTCAGTGAAGTGATGAAAAAGTCTATTATAAATAACTAACTAATAAATAAATATTATAGTTTTAATTTCTTGTAATAAGCAAAAAATTCTAAAAGTTTTGACATTTTTTCTAGTTTGAAGGCCCATTAATGTCTTTAATTAAAATTATCTTACCCCACAGGCAGATTTTTGTTGCTCCATACAAATGTTTTTATTATATTTAATAATATTTGGCTTGTTTTCTAGAAGGGCTGTTTGTAGCTGTTTTATAAAGTCTATATCTGGAACCAGGCTTAAGAGTCTGAATGCATCATGATGTTTTCTTTACAGACGTTTGTGTTTCTAATAATATTCTCTTTGTCTTGGTCAGTGTGTGTGTGTGTGTATGTATGTGTGTGTGTGTGTGTGTGTGTGTGTGTGTGTGTGTGTGTGTGTGTGTGTGTGTGTGTGAGAGAGAGAGAGAGTGTTTTCCTGCTCTCTATAGTATTGGACACGCCTCCATCTCGACCATAAAAAATGAACAAAATCCATTTTTCTGTTGTGTGTTTTCAAGGTTAATGGTCTGCCTGCAGCAGCATAAGTGCAGATGACGATTACTGTCTGCTCTGACTGATATTTTGGCACGTTGAGCTGACCTGGAGTCAGCCCAGCAGCCTCCGATTAAACAGCCATCTCTTACTGCAAAGTACAACTTGCAATTTTTCAGCCACAGGAGCCGCAATTAAAGGCGGCACCTTTGTTCCAAATGCGTGAACCTTCTTTGCAGAGATTCTGAGGCTTTTAATGAAATATTGATTTTTATTGTACAGAAGTCATTGTTGAGGGCGCAGTTGTTACTGAATGCATTACGAGTTAACAGTGAGTTGTTATTGAGCAGCTCCCAGCGGACAACGTGCCTCTAAAACTGCCAGATAAGAGCTTTTGTTCCTGTCGGGGCTCAGTGGGTAAATCACTACCATTGAAGGTAGGACACGCTCCTGGTACTGACGGGGGGCCTTCTATAATTGTTTCCCTCAAACAAATTGGATTTAGACATCCACTATTTTGTTATACAGGTGCATGAGGAACTTCATATCCTGTAAAAAAAAAGAAAAGGAGATCTCTGCCTCTGCGTTCAGGGTTTGTTAAAATCAGTAGAGTTTAAGCACTTTGAAACACTAGTTTGATTCAATAAAGTGTGCAAGAATCTACCTTTTTAAATAGAACTGTGCTGATAATATTTCTGCATTAGACAAAGGAGATCAGTTAAAAGGGCACTGCTGTTATAGCAACAAAAATCCAGTTGTACAACAAATAAAAAATAAAAATTCAATTGATGAATAAAAAAATCATTTGTACGTGTTTTTCAGCACATAACTTGGAAAGGATAAATCCTCTTGAACCAGTTTGTGAATTTAAATCCACGATTGAAAGTTATTCAACCTTGCACTTGAATTGTTTTATATATGGTACATCTGCTTTTATAGTTATTTTAATTACTTGTTTTCTGCTATCTTGTATCTTTCGTTCAGTTTTTAATTCATTGTTTTCTTATATTTATATTTTAAAAACTTCACTGTAAATATTAACAGCATATCTTCATAAAAGAAGTTAGTTAGTTTTATAACATTTTGTGGGTGTAAGTGACGCTTTGGGTTCCTACGTGTGTTCCGTCCTCCGACTCTCGGTCCACAGACCACACCTGCTGAATGTGCTTGTTGATGGTAGTGAGTAATGAGTGAGCTGACACAAGTATTGATACGCAAACTGATGTTTAAGAGGTTTCTACATCCATTTATGGATAATTGTGGGGGAGGGAATGAAGCTCATTTATGTGCGTCCGTTTCCACAGTGATTGAGATTTATAGAACAATCAGGCCAATGGACAGCTTTATATTTCTCTCCCTGTCTGTACAGTTTGAGTCATAAATCTACAGAGAGTTTGATGCATCTGCTGTCTACTGCAAAATTAAATACCTCGGAAAATAACATGTAAGACTTTTTAATACTTTTTAAGGCCCTTCACTTTCACTGTTGATTTATTAACTTTTAATACTTTAATACGCTGCATTTTTAAGGATTTTAAAACGTTTTTTATGTTTAAAAAAACATTATTGTACTAAGATGTCTTAACACAACCTGAGGGTCAGGACCCCACTCGGGGTCACCAAAGCTTCAGCGGGGGTCGCGAGGCCTTCTTGATTTTAAAGTAAGAAAACTTAATATGTCAGCATATGGTTCATTTCTGTGAAGAAATCTCTTCTGTCGTTCAGTAAACTGACAGTAAAGTGACATATTTTATAGATATTTAATATTTTATCAAAAACTGTTCCATGAACCCAAACACTGAACTCAATAACTGCAGGAAGTTTGTGTAAAACCAGAGATTTTGATGTATTTTGAGCAGATTATTACTTTACTGTAACTTCACAGATAATTACTTTAATAACAGTTCTATAACTTTTGAAATTCAGATTAAAATAAGAAAAATCCAATAATAACAGCACTGTAAATGTAAGCCTGATTATTTGTATTATAGCAGAGTCCGCCTGTATTTATAGCTCATTGCATTGGTTTTACAGTGTAAATAAAAGATTTTATGTAAAATTAAAGCTAAAAACTGTATTTTAATTATTCAAAATTATGTATTTGCTGCAGGAATATTATCTTTTTTTTAATTTCAAGTGATAGAAAAGAGTTCCCTTAAGGAGAAACCACTGTCTTAGTACACGTCTGAATAAACACATTCTGTTTTGTTCTAATTTAAACCGGAGTGCCCTTCTCAACGTGTTTTTCCAGTTTTCGAGTTTGGCTTTAACCTTGCTGGGTGAACACGGTGAAATGAAAGTTGAGAGATAATCTCATTAAGTTTAAGTCAACAGAGAGACACAGAGTGGATCCGTAGTGGAGCGTTTATCTGGACCCCAGACGCCCCTCTGCTCCTTAATTAACACTTAATTGATTAACGAGTAGACACTTGTTAAAACAAATTTCACCCACTTTCATCAGACTCCCGGGCCTCGTAGTGTGTGTGTGTGTGTGTGTGTGTGTGTGTGTGTGTGGTGAGAGAGAGAGAGAGAGAGTAGATTGAGGTAAACGAGCAACAGAGAGAGTATTTGTAATTTCTAACACATTTTACATAAAAGCTACAGATAAAAGTGTGAATACCTGCTGTCCTCTGTGTGTGTGTGTGTGTGTGTGTGTGTGTGTGTGTGTGTGTGTGCGTGTGAGAGTGTGTGTGTGAGTGTGTGTGAGTGTTGAAGAATCCTGCAGTGTAATTGAAACAGCCCTGTATAATTAGTAAGAAAAAAGACAGTTGATTAGCCTCTTAATGGCCTGCTTGTGTTCCCAATTTCCTGTTTCTGACACACACACACACACACACACACACACACACACACACGCAATCATCAGCATTATGTGTTATGTGTGTGTGTTAAACAGCAGTGCAGAATACACACACACACACGTTTTATTTCTATATATGACAATATGATACATGTGATCATCTTTTTTTTACTAAACTTTCCTAATTTCAACTTTTTATCATTATTATGTCTCAACATGGGGATAGTTTTATTATCAAGGCTAAGTTTTCATCTTATTTTTTATTTTACTGCTTGAAATGGGCACACACACATACAGTGTGTATATATACATATATATAGGTTCTGTTTCTATGCTCCAATCCAGCAATTAGAGGACTGACCTCAGAGTTTTTTGTCTGTGTTCTCTAACTAACTGTGGTCAGTAAAGTTCCTTACATACCCTGAGGTGAGGTCTCTTTACGTAAAGAAAGCCTGAGTTAACCTTTGCAGAACATGACGCCTCACAGCTTCATGAACGCTGCAGCGGCATCACAGGGATCATATTTAGACAGGAGGAGGCTGAAACTCCAAACACACGACGGCAACAGATGAAATGTTGCAGCATTCATCAAGTTCAAGTGTGACCGCACACTGCAGCGAACACACACATCAACACCCTGCCATGATTGCACTTGCTCTGCGTTAGTTGTTATGGCAACAGCTGGCGGTGGGCAGGCGCGAGGGGTTGCGAGAGACGTGGGCTCCGAGCCGCTGACAGCGACGGCATCCTTAACTGCAACACGAGAGTTGGCCAATTATACGAGTGGCGGAGCGTTGGAAAGCTGCTCGGCCCCGAGCGGCGGAGACACACGGAGACGCTGAGGAGGTATTAAGTGGCTCAGCTGAAGCCCAATTTCCCCCGTTAGTTGTTTTCTCAGGGAAAGTGGCTCATTTTAAGTCAAGTTGAGTCTAATTAAAGCTGTGCAGAGAATTGCCTGCGACAAAGCTGCGAGAGAAAGCAAAGACGATAAGGAGAAGTGTTGGCGAGTGTGTGTTTGTGTGTGTTTGTGCTGCTGCAGTCTGTTGTTCTGAGGACCAATTTTAGTTTTGAACCTGAAGCGAGGACGTTGTGTTCAGTCCGAAGGGCCAAATAAGGTCTTTTTGGACAATTCTGTTTTATATCTGGAAAAAGAAAGACGTCTTTGAGCCTCATTAGGTTTTAACACGGGGCCACTTGTGATCAGATCTTACTTCCCGCTCTGTACACAAACAAACACCACAGGACTGCTCCGACTCAGGGCTGGCAGCCAGTGTCCATTACTGGGGCTGACCGTTCAGCCTTATGTACTATTATCGGTTAGTTCTGTGTTTTAAACTCTCATTAACGCTCCATTACACACATTACTCATCATTTGTAGGCAGGTCATTTACACAGAAATCTTAAATTAGGAGTTAAGATCAGGATATGAAAATGTTCCTGCAGGAGGTCAAAGAAAGGAAGAAATCATTTAATGGAGACAACGTTTGCCGAATTTACAAAGGAGGCCCAGATAATGACGAATATGTCGTAGGCAGCGTTTCACAGAGTTTTTAAAGTTTCTATTCACTCAATAACTCTCAGAACTGTGCGATTCTGTAAGGGAGTCTGGTGATATTGTGGTCACTAGCTCATCAGTTGACAGTGAGCCCATCAGACAGGGTACCTGTGCACTTACAGGACGTCCATTCAGTATTCCGCGTGGCCCAGAAGGCATTAGCATTGGCATTTTAACACCTGATTACGTGTCTGGCGAGCTGTGGTCGGCGTGCTGTCGCCCTCCTCTTCCACTCACCCGGTTGATCAGCTCTCCCACCATGCCGGTCCAGCTGCCGTTGGGTTCCGGGGCTCCGTACTGCCCGTCGTCCACCAGCTTGATCTTGAAGGAGAACTTCAAGATGTCCGCCAGCTCCCGCAGCATGTCCACGCAGAAACCCTCGTACCGGTCGTTGCCCTGGTAGTCCTGGTAGTTGGACCTCCGCATCACGTACGGGTTTTCCTGTCGAAGGAGGAACAACAACACAGCAGCTGATGAGGAGGAGGAGGAACACCAACCACCAACATTATGGATTCATATGATATTTACCAGTATTGTGGTGACGATTAGCGTCTTGTTAGCCAGTGTCTCTGATGCGTTGAGGTCCAGGGACGTGGAGTTCATGGCCAGCGTGTTGTTGGAGTACCAGGTACCGATCTGTCCGTCCAGAAAAGGACAAGGAGGAGTTAGAGGAGGTTAAAGACAAAGGGAGGGAGCCCAGAGACGAGTTTTCCTGATATTTTTATACCATCATTTTGAACAATCATTCAGACTGAATAGACTTCTTTCTGATCAGATTCAGAGTTTCCTTCTCATTGCTCTATTAGCTCTTTGGAAGTCTGTGACTATGCAGAAGCAAACTGCTGTCTGATTTCTGTTTCAGGTGGACTTTAACTGACGTTTGAGGACAACAATTTTTGGGATTGTTCCAGTATTGGCTGTGATTCTTAGGCGCAGTTCTGTACCGACAATCCTCAAACTTGTTGTTTCTGCCACTGACAGGCTCAGATTGTTACTCTAAGTGTCTGACAGCGTTATGGAAAGGATCCCTACAGAGACAGACTCCAGGATTTTGTGCCCAGGGGGCCTCTGCATTATTAATCCGTGCCTGCGTCTGTGCTTTACAAGGCAGGAAGAATCAGTGAGGGAACCTAACCTGAACCTAAAGACCTTGAGTTGGACTGCGTTTGGACCAGCGTGACGGTACTGTGGCTCTAAATCTCGCCGCATTCAAAATTTTCTCTTGAAACAAACATGGAGGTGGCGAAGAGAAATAAAAATGCAAAGTGAACTATGAGGAAGGATGAAGGTCAACAAACAGATAGCGGTGCTAACAGAGCTCTATGAGAGGCCGACAGGAAGAGGAACAATCCTCGCCGCACAATCAATGCTGAAATCAATGAAGGAGGACCCGGCTCCTCCCGGCTCATTCAGCGGGTTAAATAAGGTCATAAATATGTTCTGTTGTACGTTAAAGCATCTGCTGCCCTGACAGCAACCCCATCACATCCCCGACCTCCTGACCTTTAGTTTGTCTGTGTATTTATCAGCTGATAGGACAGCGCGCTGATAAAGAGCGGGAGTCACTCCTTCCCCGACTCCCATCGCTGTGTTCTGTACTTACAGGCGTCACGATCATGTCCTTCCCAATCTGTCTTATTAGCTCTTTACGAGCTTTTTCCTGTTTGTTTTTAAATACATGGAAATATTAATAAAATTAAAAAAATATCCTGTGAGCAGTGTTTCCCATTAATAACTTAGACTTAGGCCCGCCACAGTCTCAGAATGAACCAAAAAAAATTCTTACACTTATCATAATAACATAAAAGATCTGTAACTTGTGTTTCGCGCCGCTGCTTCAGCAAAGCATCTCTCACTCCCAGTCAGTCGGCTCTGCCGCTCCCCCCCCGTTGCTTGTAACTAACGTATTTTCAGCATCTGAGGAGGAAGTTGCCTCACCAGGTAACGTCAGGCTATTTTTGTTAAGGAAGTTGAAGTAACACTAAAGTTACTGTTTTAATCTTAATGTTTGTACCCTTCATTTTCAGGTCAAATCAGACCTTCGTAACAGGCTGCAAGGAGAGCACGTGGCTGGTTGCCTGAGGGTCTCCATCAATGGGCCGAGTCCAGAGGAATTTAACTACCAAAGGGCATTAGAACTGTTTTTTTCAAAGCCCAGGAAAATTATATATCCAAATTCGGGGTGCAAAGAAGGGATGTAGGGAGAGTTGTAGAAATGTGTATTTTGGATGTTTTCTTTCCACTAGTCTGAAAGAAGACATGTTATGGAAGCAAAATAACCCAAAATGTTTTTGCCTGCCATGTCTCCCCTTAAGGCTGCAACTAACGACGAATTGATGATGTACCCTTCGAATCCAATTTATTTTTTATTACAATTTAGCTTACAGTTTAATTATTTATTATTTTATTTGCTAAAAAATAAACTAGTTCAACACAGGTAACCACTTTTGCTTAATTTCTTTGATGGCTCAGATGTATGCTCTGGTTGATTTTGTGTTTTCACCATTCGTATCTATACAACCATTGTGTTTATGATTAAATTGTTTAATCATTTACAAGAGCACACAGTTCTTCATGGATCTAGCCTCTTAATTTTGCTTTCAAAGTGCACCAGATTGATGCATTTAACTTTAAAATGTAAAAAAAAATCTTTAGGATATTTTTCAGCAGTGGGGGCAGGCCTGTCGGAACATACAGATTAATATTTTTTTGGTTATTTAATAGATTAAACTGTTAAATTCAAGCTTAATACTGTTAATACGTTTCTAAAATTATTAGAAATTACAATTAAGAGTAAAAAACAAAAAAACATGGATTTGTTTGTTAATTGATATAATAACAGAAACACTGAACAAATGTTGTTTATCAGTTTTAAATATCATTTAAATATCTACATAAAATAAATCTTTATCTCTGTTAATGTAAGCCTGATTATTTGTATATACGTTCACCTTATTTAATTTCATTACATGGTTTACAGCTGAATTTTATTAATAAAAAATATTTTTTAATTATTTTAAAAAAAAAAATTTTTTTTTTTGTTTGTAGATATTGTGGCCTGAAGGTGGCGCTAGAGAACAATCTCCAGCTAACAGAAAACATGAGCTCATTAAATATTCTGCACACAGTTAAAGTCATCGTATGAATCAAGTGGGAATCTCCACACTTAACCCTGAGAGCCCATTTGACCCTGTGCTGACCTCAGCTGACCTCTGACCTTTTAATGATCATCTGAGGTCATAAAGCAGCACTGGAGCCACATGGCCAAAGTCTGTTTGTATGGATTGTATCGACGAACCAATGAGAAAACTGCTTACTGCTGAGACCCGGCGGACAGAAACGTGCCGACTGTAAACATTAAAGGAAAACATGACATCGATTCTCCGTGAACTCCCAGCGGGACCTCGGCGGCTCCTAACCGACCCGGGAGAAACCTTTTAACATCATTATGTGCTCTTCTGCCCGGTAAAGTTAACTGACCTGCTACTGAAACACACTTCAAATGCTCAAGATTTGCAGATGCTTTTCCGCTGAATGCTAATTTAACCTCTGACCTCTTTATGGCCCCCGGGGTGTTTCTCCAGGATCTTCAGGGTGTAGTTGGTCCTCTGGCCTTTGCTGTTGAACTCAATGTGACCCGTCAGACCATCGTACTCCACCTGAGGACACAACCAGAGACAGTCAGCTAAACTAGCTAATCCAAGGAGCTAATTTCTGTGTTTGTGTTGGACACAATATTTCTGTAAAACTGGTTTATTAAAAGCTGCTTGTCCTAATATATGTTGTTTTGACTTAGTTGCTTATTATTTAGTTAGCATTAGCGTTAGCACAGAGTCAGAATGGACATGAGAATAAAAGCTCAGTACAAAACCACATTTCTACATTACAGTAAATTACCTCAGTTTATATTGCATTATGGGTAATCAGGAACATTTTACAGTATGTTTTAGTAAAGTAATATAACAATAGAAGTTACTGAAGATTATATATATATAATTATTATTAGTAGTAATAGACTATAATGCGATAAGTTATTTTAACTCAAAAAACGTAAACTACATTTTCTCAAGTTCAAAATATTCTTGATGAAGCAGCTTTTACAAATAATTTAATTAAGTGACAGTAATTTAATTAATTGTTGACCTTCGTCCTTCCTCTCATATTTCTGAAGCTACTTCATCAAGAATGTTTTTTTAATTTTAATCAGTTTCAAGAGTCAAATGAATCTGGTTTTACAGTGTAGCAGTAATTATTAAAAACAGCTGTCCAATCGTAACTCGTGGATGTATTAAGAACTGGACACAGCATTGGAGGCGGAGCTCCGCTAACCTGAAAGGAGATTAAATCATTTAATCAAACAGCTCTTTTAGACTTCCTGATCATTTCGTGGGCGTATCCATCATTGCACCGGTGCTACTTTCGACCACTACGTCAGACCGGCGCTCTTCCTGGCGGCTTGTTGTCAACAGGGAATGGGAAGTGTGGAGGATAGCTTACGTTAGCTGTCATTCATTCACATTAACACGTGTTTATGTGAATTACTGCCTCTGTGGCCCCACTAGGTGGCGCTCTGAGGCCCCGCCAAGTGGCGCTCGGTGGCCCCGCTAGGTGGCGCTCTGTGGCCCCGCTAGGTGGCGCTCTGTGGCCCCGCTAGGTGGCGCTCTGACCACCAGGTTGATAAACCACAAACACAAAGGGACTATTATTGTTTCAGAATGCTGAAGAAGACGAAAAGAGAAAAATAAGATTTGTATTGTACAGACAGACAGACAGACAGACAGACAGACAGATCAGTGTGTGTGTGTGTGTTTGCAGGAATGTGTAAATGAGTGTGATACTTGTGCAGTCAAGCATGTATTTTGTATATGAGTTTATGTGTGTGTGTGTGTGTGTGTGTGTGTGTGTGCATGACTCAAGATGAATTACATCCCAAAAACGGTGGCGAGAGAGAGAGACAGAGAGAGAGAGGGAGAGAGAGACAGGGTCTCTGGTTGCTGCCAAAAGCAGTGTAGAGATGATGAAGTGATGCACTGAGAGCAACAAAAACAATATGCAGGGAGAGAGAGAGAGGGAGGGAAGGAAGGAGGGGGGAGAGAGAGAGGGAGGGGGAGAGGCATCCTCAGTGGATGGAAGAAACAAGAAGTGGCAGACGGACAGAAACAGGGAAAGAGGAGGACAAGAATAAATTAAATGAACATGGAAATGAAAGGGGGGGGGATGCCAGAGGAAAAAAATACAGTCAGTAAAATCCTCTCCCTCCCTCTCTCTCTCTGTCTGTCTCTCTCTCTCTCTCTCTCTCTCTGTCTGTCTCTGTCTGCCTGTCTCTCTCTCTCTCTCTGCCAGTCCTGTAAAATAAACGACAATAAGTCGACACATATTTTCTGACCTTTATTCAGGTGAAAAAGCTGCTTGGTCAAACGTTCGCCTCCAGTTCGCCGTTACGGTCGTCGGCCATTAGCAGCGTCACATCCATCCAATGATCTCTAACAGCATTACCTTTGTTTCTGCCGGTGGTTCATCAGAACTCTACTTATAAACACTGCAGTGGTTCTCCGCCCACCGTCGTATAAAGAGTGATACCGGACTCCAACATGGCACCCATTCATGTTAACAGGAGCTACCCAACACATACTGTTCACTGTTTGCAGAGTTTGTTTAGTTTGAGAAAGTTTAGAAAATGTGAAACCTTCATGGTTTTAAATACAAAAAGTAATAAATGACCTTGTTTGCAGCTGGAGGTGTCAACAGTTTCACAAACATCCTTTTAAAATGGAGGTCTTTGGGGAGGGCTGACTCACGACTCCATATCTAACTTCTATGGAGGATAGAGTGTGTGTGTGTGTGTGTGTGTGTGTGTGTGTTGTTTACCATGCGTAGGTAGTTCATGAGGCTCGTCCCGTGCTGCCAGATGAGCGGCGAGCTGCAGCTCAGCGGCTTCACTCCGATCTCCTGACTGCGGTTCAGCTCCCGCACGGCGCTCACCACCACATGGACTGCGTCGAACATCAGCGCCGACGACAGCTGGGACGCAAAAAACACAAAAACAATACGATGAACAAAACTGCGAAAAGCCTCCAGGAGCTTCTCGATTGGACCAACTGAGGCTCCGTTCACACAGCTAGGTTTAGTTCCTTTCGGTTTTCATGTTGGGAAAATGATCCTTGTGCACAAGGATCCACAGAAAAGATTGAAAACGTTGTCGTATGCAGGCCAGACCAGTAGCTGGCGGAGTAACTTAGATTACTCAGAGCTAATCCACCTCCAGCAGACAGAGCCAATGTTCACGCTCCTTTTAGCTCTGGTTTGGTCTCCACCAACTCCAGAGGAAAACATCTGACTCTGTAGCAGCTAAATTTCTTCCACAGCTGGTCTCTGACGGTCTGCTGTTCAGTGCTGAGCTGTTGGAGTCGCTGATAGAGCTTTAGAGTTGGTGACTGGTCTCTGTCATTTGATTGTTTATTGTTCATACAGACAATAAAAAAGGTGTTTATGTGTTTTGTTCGCACTCCTACAGGCGAGGACGTCGGGGAACGATAGCAGAGAAAAGAAAAAGTGAAGCACTGCTGCTATCAGCGGCGTTCACTGCGCGGCTCGTACGGCTCAGTGATCCTATCGCAGTCTGACGTTCTGGTCTGTTTGGTCAGTTGTCAGTCAAACCGACGCTCTGAGGGAATCAGACAAATCGTACGGAGGCAGAGCTGCACAGTCTGTCGGCGGCTGATAAAAAAGATGGATGTATGACTGAGTGTGATTGGAGCTCTCCCCGAGTCGATAGTTTCAGGGCCGGATGACGATAACTAATTACAGTTTGAAGAGAGAAAGATGGAGGAGGGGAGATAGAGACGGAGAGAGTGAGAAGTAATTGGCAGCTCTCACCAATCTGTCTGTTTGGTCGTGCAGCTGCTTCCTCTGGTTCACAGCTTTAAGAAACATACTTCAGGAAACATTAACTTCACTTAACCGTGTGTCAAGATCTGGTTCTCAAACTGAATTTTCAAACTCATTAAAGCTTCTTAACGATGAGTTACAAACACAGCGTCAGGTCAGTGTGAGACGACTCTGGATATGATGTTCAGGGGGCGTGGTGTACTCAACCTAAACATGGTTTGTTACACAGGAAGTTGGAAACTGTTTGGAAAAGGACACTCGGCAAGTGACAAACTTCAACCAATTAATGAACCAGATTCTCTAAAAAAAAGTCTGATAGTATTGAGTCTTATGGAAAACCTAATAGAAGTCCATGTTGACTTTTGGTTTGTGAAAGTCCTGGGGGTCATAGAGGCCTTTTACACCAACAAGGAACCAGCTTCTGGTTCAAGCACCTAGTTCTGAACCGCTAGGAGTATTTCAATCCAAACTACACTGATTCTGAATCTGAAAAGTTGGTTCCCAGCAAAAAAATATCAGGTTTTCATTGGGAACCAAAGTGGGTGTGTCATGTTTTACAGGTTGTTGTACATTGTGTAACTCCTCCGGGTTGTTGATGCATTCTTGATTACAATGGTTCTGCTCAAAACTGGTGGACTGGTTCTCTAAATAGCATCAAGGTTCAGAGCATCCTGAACGGAACCGGTTCTAAACCAGAGGCGCCCAAACCTTTTCCCTTTTTGGTGTCAACAGTCCAAAAAATGTATGATATTGCATTCTTAAGAACGTGCTAGTTTCCCAAATTGTCTTTAATTGACTTACTTCCTGCACGAGTGGCTCTCTGACCTGCTGCTCAGATTATAAAACATTAGTAGGAATTAGGGATCCTACAAAAAACAGCATAAACAGCGTTTTATATTATATATTCTTTACATCTGGCGGGCCAAATTGAACCTTAACAGGCCAATTTTGGCCTTTCCTGATGTTATTGTGCTGACCTGAATAATTCCCTTTATTATATGTGGTTAATGATTGATTACAATACTTTAACATGAGGTGGAGGAGGCAGAAAATGTTTGATAAAGACACAACAACAGGCTGTAGCTCAATAGAATATACTTAAGGGCTGTTATATCATTCTGTCATTTCAGACTCTGATCATCATGTAATGGCCATAATCATCACAATAATAAAGCTCATTACAATCAAAACAACCACGTTTATGGCTCCTTCAAGCACCTTAAGTGAATAAATATGAGTAATAAACACCCCAGGGGACGTTCTCTGCAGTGCTGATGCCGTCTTCAGCTATTGAGGCCGACACCATCGTCATTATTATTATCTTTATCTGCCCAGGTGTTATTGCCTCCGCTGATATCAGAGCTGCAAATGAGACAAACCGCTCTGAAGAGATTGATTTGTCCTGATGGGTCCACTCGTAACGCAGGAGGAGGGCGATCAATGGAGGAGCAGTGAAAGGAATACTGCAACATCAAATCAAACCTGAATCTCCACAAGTACCCTTGAGCAAGACTGCGCCAACGTTTTGTTGTTTATTTGTGTTTTTTTTTACCTGATCGTAACTTTTCCCTGTAATGTTGAAATGTTTAATTTTTGGAGATCACAACTTAATTTCCTCTCAAGATAAAATGTAGCACTCATATTTTGTAATTGAACTCATTATGCGGAGACCACGTCCCCAACCCTGACCCCTTCATTACGCCCAGACTCATTTTTTAATGTCATTATCTGGAGATGTTTCTAATTGACCGTTTATAAAAAGCAGTTAAACAGAAAAGAAAAGGCTTTGCCCTTTCAAAGAGATCTCACAGAATCTGAGCAGCAAGAAGGAATCATTATAGTCTCAAAGTTTTATGTTAGAAATGTCCAGTGTGGGTCCCCAGCACTTAGAAACAGACAGATTATAACTTGCATATGTTGGAGGAATTAGCATAACTAGCAACTGTTGGGCTGATGTGAAACATCTTTGGGGGTTACTGAAGATGCTGAATCCATTTTAACGTACAAAATGGCCGTTCAAAGCGGAGGTGGCTTTATTTCAACTCCTGGTGATCTTATTTTGATTAATTTGAGGTTATTTATGTGCTTAATACATTAGACCTGTAAGATGTAATATTTCTTCAAATTTCTGGCCGTTCTTGGAGTTTTTTTTTGCCACGCAGCATTTTTTCATTGACCTGTGTCTTTGCAGCTGGGGTTATGTATTAAGCATATAAGTAACCTCAAAATGTATTGAAGTCAGCACATTAGGAGTTAAAATATGTCCACGTCCAGTTTGAACATCCATGTTGTAGTTGCCAGAAATGAATTCAGCATCCTCAATAACCCTCAAAACCTCTCTTATGTTGTCCAAATCGGCCAAACGTTTAGGTGATTATGCTAATTATGATGATTTCTGATGCTGGGCACCCATACTGTACATTGGGGCTCTGTTGGCTGGAACATGAACGTCATATCTTATAATTCATCCATTACGAAAACACCAAACTCTGGCAGAAATCGTTCATGGACGAGGAAGTCAAGGAAACGCAGCATTACCTGAATAAAATTACAGATTTCTGAAGATTTTTCTCGATGTAAAAGATGTTTTCACTCTTCTCTCTTCTGGCTTCAGTAAGAGTTTGACTACGTTATACCGTTCATTGATCTGATCGGTTAAAGTTGGCCCCTGATAGACGGTGATAGCAGTGTCTGCCCTGTAAACAGGTTGTAAAATCAACACTACAAGCTTAAAGAGCACTTCTGCTGCTGCTCTCAGGTTAAACTGTCGGTGATACTTTATGATTCTTTAATCAAAGCAGATACAGACAGGTTTGACTCTGTTTGTCTCACCGCTGGTCCCGGGTACGGGCTGACATCGCAGCCTTCCTTCCACGACAGGTTGAGGCTCCTGATGAACTCCAGGTAGAAGTAATGGCTGCTGTTCAGCATGGAGAAGCCCACGATGTTGGACTGATCGTCCACCACGTCATCCAGCTGAAGCAGAGGGAAGTCCTGAAGACAGACAGAAAAAGACACAGAGGAAGAGGAGTTACAGCTATTGTCCGTCTTATGTGACATATGTAAACAGAGCTGTGAGACGCAGAAACAACGACCATTTAAGATCACAGTGAGGAGAAGACGGAGAGGAAGAAGAAAAAGGATGAAAGAGAAGCAGAAGGAAGAGGAGGACAGAAACAAACGAAGGGCTTGATTGGGGTTTTCTTTTGCTGCACGTCAACTTTAATTTATAAATTCAGAGCAAGCTAACAGAAAGAAAAAAGGTTTTAAAAAAATAGATTGACATCAAACGCGGGGAATTTCAAAGAACTTCAAATAGTCCTTGAAGGCGAGTCGGTGTCACGCTGAGCTCGGCTGCTGAAACAAACCAGAATCCAACTGTTGCTCGGCCATTGGAGGGTTTGTGTTTGCTCTGAAACAGACAATGAAACATTTAGCTTCAGATACTGAAACACTGCTGCTAGCACCTTGTTCCTGCTCTCAGAAATCTGCTTTTATTTTGTTACAACTGCAATTAATGTCTATTCTTATTCTTGATTAATATAAACATTCACGTTTTGATTAACTGTTGAATATACGGGAAACTACTGGACCAAGTTTTGTGTTAATCAGACAAAGCTACGCAGAAATATTACATCACATCCTGTTTGAGTACAGGAAGTCCTCTGATGAATTTAAAAAAGTAGTAATTTTACGAGCGACCTAGCTGCCAATTGTCACCAGATTGTACACAGCCCCTCAGTGGGACTTAAGAAACTACTGAATGAAGTTTCATGTTAATCCGACAGACCAAAGCCGAGTAAGAGCATCACTTCCTGTTTCAAGTGACCCTCAGCTCCCAGTACTGGGAGCCGCGCTGCCTTGCATCCACTGGCCCTCAGCCCATTCATGCTTGGACCCCTAATAAAAGTATGAGTGTGTACATATTTGTACAATCACAAACCCTGTAGGGCATCGTAACACAAATCTGACATTAACAAGCAAATGCACAACGGTCACAACAGGAAGCAGTATTTAATTTGGTGGCGGTTCACTGGATGTCCTTCAGGTTGCGGCAAGAGCTCAAATATTTAGCTGCCAAAGGGCGACAATTTTGTTTTTCACCTAATATATATTTTCAGGTTTTTTTTTCTTTTAGATTCAGGAAAGAATAAAAAGATAAATCCAGCAAGCACAGGAGTTGTCTCTCGCTCTGGACCAAAGTTGTTGGACGGACGGACTGTCATCATCATCATTTGGCTGCGTTCTCCAGCAGGATAGAAAATATTCTGGCACAGAATCTCTGCGGTCTGCAGAATCTGTGTCTGCAGAGGGTCTGAGGTGCTGGAGGGGAGGAAACACTCAGACCCTGGAGCCTTTTCTGCCCAGCTGTTTAGCAAGACTGCTAACCTCCGTGTAAGGTTAATTTCTTCATCCCCGAATCTCCTCCGACACTTATTTACTTCCGCCACGTCCCGGCCTGTCGGGAAGCTGCTGCTGTTGTTCTCGTTGCCGGTTTCCAGTTGCCAAATCAATTTCAGCCACAGCCAAGTACACTGTCAGACTGTGGGCCTGCCAGCCGTGACAAAGAGCTGTTGGCTGGACTAGACAGGCGCTGCTGAGGGAGGAAACACTGCGACAGTGTCCCAGAAGGACGCCAGCGACTGTTCAGACAGGACGTTCATCCAGGTTTTGGGCAGCCGGCGAGGACGGTGCAAGGTTAGTCCGGCGTGCTCTGAAGAAAGGATGTGACAGCCTCTCCGGCGCAGATTAGTGCGAGTTTCAACGAGCAATAAGTAAGATTTAGATTCTTTCCTGCCCCATTCAGGAGAACATGGCCATCATATATCTGCAGGGGGTTGATAAGGTTATTGATCAATAACCGTGACTCACTGATTACTTCACCCCGACTGGAGAGAATTCTGAAACTCTCTTCCACCAAAACATCTGTTAGATTCAGTCACTTCAATTAAAGTTTTCTAGAATTTGTACACAGAGACTTCACTACATCTATTTAGTGCAGATTCAGATTATTAATACAAAATATAGTCACAAAATAAGTTAATAGGTTAAAGGAGGTGTGTAGGATTTAGCAGCATCTAGCTATGCACTAAAAGCTGCTTCTCAATGTCTAGAAAGCAGACCTGGACAACCTTAGAGGTCTGGAAGACAGCGAGTCAAACTGAAGTCCTTTAATTCTTGATTCATTCTTCGTGATGATAAACTGACTTAAAAGTTGTTTTCAGCCTCTTTTAGTTCCTATTCTTGGTTTGGCTGGTTTCCTGTCTGGTCCAGACCCAGACAGACTCAGTGTGTAATGAGGGTCAAACCCAACATTAGATTAAGTTCATTAAATTCCAGCTAATTGACTTCAGACCATCTGGACGTCCTCCTTTATTTATTTGTATTTTATTTATTAAAAATTTGGCCTGTTCAGTTGCGCCGTCCGTTCCAACGGACCTGACCTTTCTGCGATGTCTGAACATATTTGATTGGACGTCTATGAGCCAATCACAGCGTTCCACATCATCTAAAGTGGACAGAAGAAGAGCCACGCCCCCTTTTCCTGCAAACATGGCGACCTTGGGCCACATTTTCATCCATTAATCACACTGTTTAAAGGTCCAGTGTGTAGGATCTAGTACCATCTGGTGCTTTAGTTGCAGACTGCAACAAACTGAACACCACTTGCGTCTGTATCTGATGACGTGTGTAGGAGCAACTACTACCCTATTTTAAAGACCAGGTTTGGTTTGTCCGTTCTGGGCTACTGTAGAAACAAAAACAATTCTTATATTCAGGTGATTATACACTAATGAAAAACATACCTATGACTATTATATTTCTGACAATAGATCCTCCTACAGGAAGTAAACCATGGCGGACGGCGAGGGTCCGACCATCACTGCTTACAGCTTTAATTTTTATTCTTTTGTTTGTTTCTTTTACATTTTGTCTTGATGCCTTTTATTTAATTTTTGTTGTCTAAATGTTCAGTACTAATAAACTTTACCTGCCTTAGCTTTAAACAGGACTTTATGAAGAGAGTTAAATGCTATTGAACTGATTATGGTTCAGTACTTCAGTCTCTGGCAGCTTCCACCTTATTCCCTGTTTAGTTTTTCCATCTGTTCCACACACAGACGTCTCGGTCTGTCATCTGAAACCTGCTCGTCAGTCGCAGTCAGCAGAGCGTGTTTAATACAAAGTTAAAGGTAGGTCAGAGCAGGAGCGGCGAAGAGGGGGAATCATTTCACTTTTGGTTCCCATCCAGGGTTCTGCTGGAGAACGGCGGTTTCGCCCTTGGCTGCGAGCGCGGCGTGAAGTGCCCTTGCGTGCGGCTCCGTTAAGAGTCTGTGACACGGCCGGCGTTTAGAGAGACGAGGCGGAGATAGACTTGATGTTATCACAAATCTCACAAGGAAAGCAGTGAAATTATAAAACATCATCTCTGATGAGAGGAAGGAGGAGGAGGAGGAGTTACTGGTTAGGAAGGAGAGGGAGGAGAAGAAGGGGGAGGAACCTGGAGAGGATGGGACCCACAAACATCCTGTAAAAAGATATTTTACTGCTAACCAAGAAATATTTGATGTAACAGTGACTGTGAGGAAAAGAAAGAAGGATGAGAAAAACATCCAGCATTTAAAATGGAAGCAAAAGAGAGGAAAGAAAGAACAGAAGGAAAGAGGAAGAGGGGAAGGAGGGAGGAGTTTAGGAAAGAAATATGACAGAAACAACAATGGAAAACAGGTCATGAGGAAAAAGGGGGTTGGGAAAGAAAAGTAAAAGAAGAAAGGAAAGGAGGACATGAAAGATGAGGGGATTTAGGAGAAAAGGGGTTGGAGAAAGTAAGAGATGAGAAAAAACGGGAGGAGGAAAGAAAACCGTAGGGAACGATGAAGAGGAGGAGATTAAAAGGAAAAATGGCAGGAGGAGGAGAGAGGAAATAAAGAGAGCAAAGGAATAGAAAAAAGGTTATAAGGAAAGGAAAATGAAAGAAAAGGGGAAGGAAAGGAGGACATGGAAGATGAGGGGATTTAGGAAAGTAAAGGAAGAGTGGTTGCAGGGAATGAAGAAAGGAAAAAAGAGATGAGAGATGAGTAACAAATAGGAAAGGAGACGGAGAAAAGAGATGTAGGAGAGTAAAAGAAATAAAATGAAAAGAGAAAGGAAAGGAAAGAAGGAAAGGAGGAGAAGAGAGAGGAAAGGAAACAATAAAAATGTAAAACTGACAAAGGGGAAAAAGAAGGATGCGATCAGAGAAGGAAAGAGGAAAGGAAAGCAGGAGATGAGAAGGATGTTAAAGAAAAGAAGGTGATAAAGGGAACGACAGGGTTGAATAAAAGCAAATAAAAGGAGGAGGAGGCGAGAGAGGACAAGAGGAGGAGTAATGACGGAGAGAGCAGCGAGTGTACAGGAAGATGAAGGTGAAGAAGAGGAGCAGAAGAAAGGAATTGAGGTTAATGGAAGACGAGGGTGCTCTTACCATGGTGGTGAGGATGTACTTGTAGAAGGCCGACGTCATCCCGAGCTCGTTCGCCTGCAGGAGGAAAAACATCAGCGCTGTGAAACAGGAAGTTCCTCAAAGTTACTCTGAAGAAAGTTAAAACCAAAGGAACCATCTGCTCTATATTCCCCCCCGAACGCTGGAGTTTGGCCCAAATCAGAGACGATTCAGTTTCACTCTGACAGTCTGTGTCGCAGCGTCTTCAGTAACAGGAAACAACCTTGAAACAGCGCCTCAGATAACCACTACAGGATCTGTGAGTGAGGAGACGCTCGGAGTTCCTTAGTGAGCTCATTGTGCTCTGATTGGACGATTCGAGGGAGAAAAGACGTCTTTAATCTGAGTTAACTGGCTCAACGTGATGTAGACGTCTGGGAGGTTAAATGGTTATCTGTCACACTAACATCTAGGAACTGTTTCAACCTGGATGTCCAAAGACCAGAGTCTGAACTGGACCAATAAGGTGCCAGTACCTCGATCCACTCAAACCCTGATTTTAATCAGTTTTAACGAGGATGTGAACTTCAGCAGCATTACTGTACACGTGGCTTTTAGAGAAGCTAGCCGTCTATGCCATAATTGATGTTGATAATCTAGCTTCTGTAGTTAAACTAGAAAATATATCAAACTTTGTCCTAATATTCGAGCTAATATTTAATTTGATTTAACAAGTTAAGTCCAGGTGAAACGAAAGTCAGAGTGCTATTTCCTTCCTTCTACATTAGCAGTTAGCAATAGAAATTTAGTTTTTGTGAATATTTTGTCAGACTTTGTTAAATATGGGAACAATATAACTGAGGATGTGATCTTAAAGGTTTAATCGGGGTGACATCCTGTGGCGTCGTCAACCTGTCTGTGTCGTGGTGGAAAGAGTTAATTGCTGTAATAGTACTCAACAAAGTAAATGCTGACTTATTTTAACTTGTGAACATGAGTTTAACCCAAACCGTCATCTTTTCTCAAACCTAAACCAGGAGTTTTGGTGTCTGAACAACGTTAACCACGTACGCCTGTTACTGGTAGTCTCAGACGGCCATAGCTGTTGTTTTGGACCTTATCGTCTTCCATCAAGTCAAGTTAAAAGACAATATCCATCGTTTGTCCACGCCCGGCTGGGATCTGAACCGGCAACCTCACAGCGAGGAGCTGCAGACGGACTCTGTTATTAATCCATTAACCTTCCACACACTGTGAGCTTCAGTCTGCCTGCAGAAGCTGAGCTTTAACACCACACAGTTTTATTTTGAATTCAAAACTCCTCAGACCTCCAAGGTTCTCCGGGCGGAGAGTGAACTTACAACCTGCCAAAAAGCTGCTAGATTTAGTTTGAGGCTGTAAAGTCTGTCGACTCTACCGGCCACTTTGGCAGGAAACCAGCCGGTGTCTGAAGGTCCCGTTCTACTCTGTAAACACCACAGAGGAAGACACACACAAACAAAGCAGGGGATGAAGATGTGTCAGACAGACAGGGTCCCTTTTGTTTCCCTTCCTCAGGTTTTCTCAGAGCTCCTCCAGCGTGATACTCTGCTGTACCTGTGTATGAACGCACCGAGGAGGTCGGTAGAGTTTCATATGAATAATTCACATCGATTCAGGAAGACAAAAGACAAACGGCAACTTCTGGACGGCAGAACAAAACCTGCATGATGATAAGTTGCTATGGGGATATTGTATTGTTTATAAAATACAATAAATAACATTATTTTATGCGGAGGAAGTCTAAAGGAAGTATAATGTTGTCGCGCATTAGCTGTTAGCAGTTCCAGTTTGCACTGTAACCATGGAAACAAAGACAACAGGACCAACGGCGGTCAGTTAGCTGATGACCTCCTGACCTTCCTGAGGATGTGGTAGGAGATGGAGGCGTTGGCGTCGATGATGATGGTGGCCACCTTGTCGTCACGGATCTCCTTCAGCAGCGGGGTCGGGTCCAGGCTGTCGTCCAGCATTCGCACCGACAGCGTCTCCCTGGAGATGAGGAAGCGGTGGACGAGCTCCTCCAATCGCAGCAGGCCTAAAAAGGGCGGAGTCAGGAAGTGGAAACAGGAAACGTTCTGTGAAATAGAGACTAAGAGCGTTTAGTTGTGTTTGGTTGTAAAATGACTGCTCGGAAGAAAAAAGGTTTCATAAATTGATGAGAGTCATTAGAGACAAATCGCAGCTCTAAAAACCTCCAGCTGCAATAAACAGACGGGATGAAGGTCATTATGTTCAAAGTGCATTAATTTTCCTCATAGAGAATCAATTTGGATATTGAAATAAAGTCTGGATAAAAAGTTACACATTATTAAGGATACTTAAATCCATCAGACCTGCACTAAAACTGCAATAACCATTGAAGCTCTCATTGTTAGTCCACCTTCACCACGTGATTACCACGACACCACTAACACAGAAACACTCAACAGGACATCATATGTTATGTATTGATTTATGGACGTAATGCAGAAACGATAGATAATCCAATAGGTTGAATAATCGACCGTCTGCATTCTGACAGCAGCTCACACGGTCGATGCGTAGCGGTCATTTTTCCTGCCCCAGATATCAGCGGCTTCCTCCTCAGAGCCACAGGAATGTAATTTAGTTGATGGTACAAATGTTAATATGAAAATACATTTAGAGGAGATTATTCAATTGTTCAAGAATAAATGAGAAAGTTTCATAATTAAAATCGTTACTGAGGAACTTTTAGAAAAGTTTCTCTCTCTCAGTTTTATCACTCGTCTGTTCGTCCCTGACGGGAGCAGCGGCCACCACGTCACTGTTAATGGCCGCCATAAAGCGTTCATCACGGCGCCCCCGTTAAACAGCACAGTTAACAGGACGAGGACACGGCTAAAGACTGAGGGACGGTTTACAGGAAGAGTGGAGCGTTAAAATGTCGAGCCGGAGCAGCCCAGTCGGTGGAAACACAGGAGAGAGACATCGATGAAGGTAAAGTGGAGAGGAAGCAAAGGAGAGAGGGAAGGAAGCAAAGGACAGAAGGAAAGAAGCAAAGGACAGAAGGAAGGAAGGAAAGGACAGAGGGAAGGAAGCAAAGGACAGAAGGAAGGAAGCAAAGGACAGAGGGACGGAAGCAAAGGACAGAGGAGAGGAAGCAAAGGACAGAGGGACGGAAGCAAAGGACAGAGGAGAGGAAGCAAAGGACAGAGGGACGGAAGCAAAGGACAGAGGAGAGGAAGCAAAGGACAGACGGAAGGAAGCAAAGGACAGACGGAAGGAAGCAAAGGACAGAGGGATGGAAGCAAAGGACAGAAGGAAGGAAGCAAAGGACAGAGGGAAGGAAGCAAAGGACAGAAGGAAGGAAGCAAAGGACAGAGGACGGAAGCAAAGGACAGAGGAAGGAAGCAAAGGACAGAGGGACGGAAGCAAAGGACAGAGGAAGGAAGCAAAGGACAGAGGCGGAAGCAAAGGACAAGAAGGAAGCAAAGGACAGACGGAAGGAAGCAAAGGACAGACGGAAGGAAGCAAAGGACAGAGGGATGGAAGCAAAGGACAGAAGGAAGGAAGCAAAGGACAGAGGGAAGGAAGCAAAGGACAGAAGGAAGGAAGCAAAGGACAGAGGGAAGGAAGCAAAGGACAGAGGGATGGAAGCAAAGGACAGAAGGAAGGAAGCAAAGGACAGAGGGATGGAAGCAAAGGACAGACGGAAGGAAGCAAAGGACAGAGGGAAGGAAGCAAAGGACAGAGGAGAGGAAGCAAAAGACAGACGGAAGGAAGCAAAGGACAGACGGAAGGAAGCAAAGGACAGAGGGAAAGATTTTAGTTAAAATAAAAGCTAAAAATTGTATTCTAATTATAGTAATGTATGTTTAAGAGTCAGTTACTTTCTCCACTACTTTACTTGGTTAAGTCAGCGTCACTTAAAATTACTAAAGCTACTTGATCCAGAATTGAGTTAGTAAACTTAGTAAACTTAGTTTCAACAGTCTTTTTTAGTTAAATAAACTCTTTTAGTTTTAGCAGCAGCGAGCGATTGGACATCGAGTGGCGAGCGGCGAGCGGCGGACAAACGTGGACTCACACTCCGCTTTGGCACAGACGAGGCTCGTCGTCGGGTAGCCGAAGGAGCGCAGGATGGACCCGATGGCCAGGCTCAGGTCCTCGTTGCTCGGGTACAGTGTCACCGAGGCGAAGCGGAGGTACGGCAGCTTTGGGGTTTCCTCCGGGCCGATCTTCACGTGGGGGATCTGAGGGAGGAGGAAGCAGAGATGTTAACTTTTGGGCCAGTCGTCATGTTTCTCTCCTATCTTTACTCTTTGTGTTTCCTTTTTAACGCACTCGTACACTCATCTGTAAAAAGAATCTGCTCTTGTGGGACAATAAAGATCTGAACTGAATAAAGAAGAAAAAGATTGAAAAAGAAAAACAGGGGTGACAGTAAGAGGTGACGACATCAAGGGAACAAATATTAACCGTACCGGCTCTACAGCGAGTTCAGATAACAGAAATGGAAGCTTTAATCAAACTCCGACGCTCGCTGATAATCGAGTCTTTGTTCAGTTTCAAAAAGAAATGATATTAGAAAAAGAGTTTGTGTTTCACCTCCACTCAGCTGAAACATTAATATCAAAGGATTCATTTCTTTTTTTTAATGGCAGGAAGGTTGTTTTGGGGAGAGAAACTGAAAGAACTGAGATTCTTCTGTACGAGAGAGAGAATGAAACACATGTTCAAACACTTGAAGATCCTTCATACTGTACGAACCCGAACCAAAGAGTCTCACAATAATCTCATCAAGAATGTTTTGTGTTAGAAAATATATCTGACTTTGTCTCAATAAGATATTACAGCTCGATAACAACAAAGGTTGCATAATATCTCAGCAGAGGAACCAGATTATTGTCCTTATTTTCAGAGTAAAAGCACAACTTCAGTTTAAGAGAAAGTCGTCTGGTCCCAGTTTTAGAAATGAAGCAGCTGTTTAGTTTTTTATTGTTTTAATAAAAATTACATTAAGACAAAATCGCTGATTTTTATTTATGCTGTTTCAAGAAATTGTGTCTAATTGTAAGATTTTATTTTTTCAGATGTTACTAGCTAGCTAACGATGATGATGACGCGGATTAACTCGTAATCAAGTTTTTTATTTAGTTTGGCATTAAAACTGTTTTACTGGCCAACTGTTTTTCTTAATAAAAGATAATTTGATTATATTTAAGTATATTTGGAAGTGCAGGTTTTGATTAACACTCGGTGAGAAGTGAAAACAATAATGGCGGCTGCTAAAGAGGTTAGCGTAGCTGCTGTTAGCATCCGTTCATCAGAACTGGAGGAATTTCTTCAATGAAAGAAGAACAAAGAACGACACTGAAGACGTTTCTGTTTGAAAAACGACCGGCTTCAGTACGTTTGGTTCGTCCAATCAGCTGCTGAGTATCTTTTTGAAACTATTAAACTATTGACTGCTTTTGTTTCACAATGTTTGTACGTTTTATTTTGAAAGTCCAACTGGATGGTGCATATTAATGGTTGCTAACTTGACCGTGGAGCCAGAAATGATGCTAGGGAATATTTGACGAGTTGACGTCTCTCGTTTTGGTTCCTGATATAAATTCTGTTGCCGTGTGGAAACCATAAAAGAAACTGGACCAAATGAAAACGTCTTTGTACCTTAAAGAGTCTGAGAGCCATTCATTTAAGAGCGTTTTAAAGCTGCTCTGTTTCAATTTAAACTCCACAGAGCAGAGATCCTGCGACTGACAGTGTCTGTATTTAAGCTGAAAAATTAATGAAACATGAAAAATGAATCTCTGCAGTGATGAATGAATAATCAGGTCAGAGGCCAAATGTCCTGTGTGATCGGACGCTCGGCGAGTTAACCTCGATTCGCACCTGCAGAGCTTTAAACGGTTAACTGTAATTAGCTCAGCTGGGCTCCGCTCTGATCTGAGAGCTTATTTTAAATCTGAGCAGAGAATCCAATAATGTGAGAGCTGTCAGACGACATCAGGACGGAGGCTCGGCAGGAGACGGACTCGTGTACAAAGACACTTTATCATTTATTTACCTTTCTTAAACATTTGATCTGAGGAATCTATTGTTCCACATCAGCTGCTGCATCAAAATATAATTCATCATTTATTTATTTATTCAAAACATGGCAGACGAGACAGAGCTAACGTTACGCTAAGACAAACAAACAAATTAACAAAATGAATATGAAACACATCAATCTTGTAACAAGGCTGAATTAAAAATAACAGACAATGTTTTTACAGTGTAACAAACCCTCTGGAGCCAGATGTGACTCACCTCTTTCTCCCCACAGATGTGACTGATGGTGGACCCGGAGGCGGGGCTGGAGGCGGGGCCAATCACTGAGACCACGCCCTTCGGCAGGATCTGACACACTGAGACAGAAAACAACCAGAAACATTTAGTTTTTAAACAGCTGCACATCCAGCTGTGTGCAGATGTTTCCACTGAATACGAGCCGGAGAGCTAACGCTAAGCTACGAGTCAGAGAGCTAATGCTAAGCTACGAGTCAGAGAGCTAATGCTAAGCTACGCTGTTTCCAATGAATATTGTCTTTAATTTTAACTTTTAAGCATATTTCACTGTAAATGAGGGAAACCTCAATGATTCTCGAGACTTAAATAAAGGTTTGACTTTAATTGAATAATAATTGACTAACAGTGTGGGGGGGTGAGCTGGTTTCTATCTGGAGGGGGGGGTAAGGGTACACAGTTGTTTATCAGTCAATTAAAAGTTCTGATTTCCATTTTTCTGCTTCACAACGTTGAGATGTTTGTTGTTCTTTGAGTCTGTTTATATGAAGCAGAAACTCGCTCATGGGAAGGACGAACACGAGACTGAATCTGGTTTCACTTGTTTGATCGACACAGATCTGATTGTCTCTCCATGAACGCAACAATATGGATGTTTCCATTACTGTGCTGAGGTCTGTATGTTCGTCCATGCACATAATGTGTGTGTGTGTGTGTGTGTGTGTGTGTGTGTGTGTGTGTGTGTGTAGTGTTGAAATCAATTAGTTCATGCTGACGTAAACACGCGTCACATTTAGTTTCAGGACTTTTTGATATTAAAATACAAAGAAATTGAGTTTTTGTATCTTTAGCACAAACTGTTAAACGGGGGAACAATAAAACTGAGGATGCAGTTTGTATCCGATGTTACACAGTCGGAGTAAATGTGGTCATTCAGTGGTTTAAGGTGATTTATACCATCAATTACGATGCCTGGCGGTATTTTTAAGCACCTTTAACTCGTGGTTGTAACGTCTGGCTCTGTTGAACTTGTTTGTTATTTAAAGAGCAGTTTCAGCGAGTGAGGAAGAACCAGCTGCCGCAGTATTGACCCGCCTTGTTAAATAAAGGTTGATGCTTTATCGCTGTGCTCTGCTTCCTCACACAGAGCCGCCGACTGAAGTTTACCTTCACTGAAAATGTCAGAGAGAAGAGCAGCTGGGTACGGTGGCTGGTAAGTGCAAAACAAATTTACAAACTCTGAAACAAATTTACAAAGTCAAAATCGTACGGGAAGGGCGAGAGGTTTGTTCTGGAAAGACTGTACGGAGCGAGTTGTGTGTTTTATATGGAGTTTCATGATGTTTTGCCCGTTTTGTGGAAACCATTTGGGTCAGTTAACTGACTGTTAACTGTCGCTCCGTACTGTCTTTCCAAGACAAACCGTGTTCCATGTCAGATCCGGCTTTTGGTACAATCCCTTTCAATATGATTTTGACTTTGTAAATTTGTTTCACAATTTGTAAATTTGTTTCGCACTTACCAGCCACCGTAGCTGGGAGGAAGTGAAGAAGAGGAAGATGAGGAAGATGAGGAGAGGACGGTGACTTACTGGTTTCAGTGGTGTCGTACTGGGAGTCCTTCTGCAGCTCGTAGACGTCTACCTCCACCCTCGCCCGGGAGGAGCCCTCCATCAGACTGTTGATGTTCTCCCTCGCCAGAGCCAGCGCCAGACGCTCACCGCGACCACACACTGACTGATCATCCAAAATGGCCGCTGGAGGGAAAGAGAGCGAAAGGTTGAATGAATGAAGACGATAAATGTGGTTTTATTTCTACGGAGGTCACCTGACTCCTCCTAATCGCCACCTGTAGACGTGTGCTAAGCTAATCTATGTTGAAAAGACACATTTTGAACACGGTTAAGAGTTCAGAGAGGTTAGACTCTGGAGACAAATACTAGCTAGTTTGCAAACTAACCACCTAACAAGCCAATCAGGGATCAATATATTAGTTAGTGTATTAGCTCGTTAATTAGCTTGTGTTTTGTACTAGCTAACGAGCCAGCTAAAGACTGATGTAGATTAGCTACCTTATTAGCTTGTGTTTTGCTAACATTAGCTAACTTAAGATGTGACTGTATATCATCACTTTTATCTTTTAACCATCTTCAGTATGTGTTTGCCTTTTCAAGACACATTAGCTTAGCATATAGCATATCTAAGTACAGTAAAGGAGGAAGCTGACCGAGTCTTCCTCAACTGTAATTGGAGCTTAGGAAGGACGCAGTGAATCTATGTTAGGTTCTTGTTTAGTTCAGGCCAAATACGACTGAATAAAGTCGATTTCTTTGCCTTGTTTGTCTTCCACGGTTATTTCAGGACAGACAAATGTTTTTATTGTCGTGTGGTGGAGAAACTTCCCATTGATCCCACTCCCATCCCTGCATTAGCATTTTCTGTTTGGCTGAGCAAACATTGCCCTACAGCTACAATCCTGAGAGCCAATGGGCTATTTATACACACCTCCTCATCCCAGAGTCCTCAGCTCCTTACTGACTTCCTCACTAACCTGCACTGACAACATTTCCATTGTTGTGGTGGTATTTCTCGACAAAGGAACCATTTAGGAGGCTGTTTTTGGCATAAAACTGTGAATTAGATTAGACCTATGTTCTGTCTAGACGGGCTGTAAGTGATCTCCACTTATCTCCATTAATACAGCAGCTCTGTGAATTTAGGATTTATTTCCACCAAATTGTTGGAAAGATTAACAAAGGTGCTTTTTGTGAGTTTTATTTAGTTTCTGTCCACTTTTAATGAGGTTAAAATGAGCATCTTTGTCAATGGAGTCTGGTGGAGAGTGACAGTGATATAACGGCGGTTTACGACAGGAGAAACTATCTACATCCAGTGTTTGGTTTGTCTGTTCTGGGCTTCTGTAGAAACATGGTCGGTTCAACATGGCGGACTCCACCAGAAGAGGAGCCGCTCTCTCTGTAGATAAAAACGTATCATTAGGTAACAAAAAACAGTTTTCAGGTGATTACACACTGATGAAAACGTACCTTTTTTATTCTATTTCTGCTGTTTTCTGCAAATAAAACCTCCACAATCTGACACACTGGACCTTTAAGTTGAATTCTGAATGCAGGATGGAGTATTTCTACATGTTTTTATTATTGTTGAGGATCTGAATACTTCATTTAAAGTCTGAACACACTGCTAACGAGTGCAAGGATACATAATCCAGATACAAACCGCCTCCTACTACAGGTGTAAGTGGGACACTCGTGATTGGCTCTCGGCCAGGTGAAACACAACCTGACGGACCAGAAATAGATTTGACTCTCGGAGTTAAACAGGAAGTGGAGCGCTCGCAGCAGCTGCAGCGAATAAAAACCACTCGTCATCGTTTCTATTTCCTGCCTCTAGGAAAGACAGAGCTCCCGGTGGCGGCGTACAGTAACACCTGCCGTGTTTATTTCTGTCGCCGCCTCCCCGATGACTGTTTGAATATTGAACAGGCTGAAAAATGAAAAAGGAAACTCTGCATGGAAAGTTCATCCAGTGGAGAGCAACCTTTTAACCACTGAAGAAGAGGAGGAAGAAATACATTGTACGTTTACGTTTTTAAATACATGGAAATATTAATAAAAATAAAAAAACGTTAATGAACTGTTCAACTTTAATAAATGTTGTTTATCAGTGTAAAAGCATTGGTAAACTGTTAAAATACAGTTGTTATCAGTGTAAACAGCAATAATTACTGTAATTTCACAGATAATGACTTTTATTAGTTCTATAACTTTTAACATTTATATTAAAATAATAATCTAATAATAACAGCACTCTGCTGTAAAGTCTGATTATCTGTATTATAGCAGAGTTCACCTGTATTTATAGATCATTAGTTTTACAGTGTAAATATCTGTAATTAAACATTAAAAAGACAAATTATAGATTCAATTTACTGTATTTATAGGGGCTCTTTTACAGTGCAGGACTCGAATATGAGCCTTAAGATGGATTTTTTTACAGTGTAATTCATCCCTCCATATGAGCGGACGGCGAGCTGCGGCGCCGCAGAACGAGGCTCCAAACAACACGAGTAAAAAAAAATCAAAGTGAGAGCTGCTGAGCCTAACGAGCAGAAAGTCTGCTGCCGGGGGTTTGTTCTGGATCTGATTTGTGTTCCTTAAATAATTAACACCTCTCGCGGGCGCACTAGGAGGCGATTTATCGTGTCCTTCCTCAAAAAGACTGTTGTGGGGTTTTTTTTGTGCAGTTTAGGAAAACACAAAGAGAGCCAGATGGTTCATGTTGAGTTATCTGATGCTCACTGAACCGCCATGGTGGCAAAACTCCTCCGAGGGGATAAAAACACAAAGACAGTGTTTAACTGACATGTGAGGATATTTCAGAGCTCAAACACACCTGTCTCCTGACAATCACACACATGTAACACTATAAACACATTAAACACAATAAACACCTGGTTTATGTTCCCGACACAGAAACTGCATCCGGATATCTGAAGATAAAATATATTTCTGTCTAATGAGGCAGCAGGAAGCTCTTACTGTCTTACTGGATAAAGAGAGAGAGACAGAGAGAGAGAGAGACAGACAAAGAGAGAGAGACAGACAGAGACACAGAGAGACAGACAGACAGACAGAGAGAGACAGAGACAGAGAGAGAGTTCAGTATCTTCCCAGAATCCCCGGTGCTTGGAGGGAGGGAGGATGAAGATGAGAGGGGAGATAAAGAGTCTTCTTCAGGGGCCTCAGCAGTGTTCAGACACTATCTGTGTACACAGTATCTGGTTCTCTGGGTCACTGAGACCACACTCACACACACACACACACTCACACTCACACACAAACACACACACACACTCTCACACACACACACACACACACACACACACACACACACACACAGACATACACACACACACACACACACACAGGATGAGCTAACCACAGAGGGTCAAACACTTGAACTCTGTTCAGAAAGTTTTTGGATTAAAGCGTGAGGGACCTTCAGGAACCCTCAGGAACCTTCAGGAACCTGCAGGTTCTCCTCCAGCATCACGTCTGTGTCTGTCTGCTCTATAATGTTGATGTTCTGTTGAAGGTGACGTCGTATAAAGAGTCTGCATATGGAGGCGGTTGGAGAGGATGGACAAACAGGAGGCCTCTGTTACACTGCGACCACGGAAAGTAAAATGTTTCTCACAAAGCTTTATTATGAAAATCTACCTGGATGTTGGAGCACAGCATTCTAGTTTGACCATTTGAGTGAGAACGTGTTAATTTATATATATATATATATTATATATATATATACAGAGATGGAACTCTCTTTTTAAGTAAATAAATGCACAGATCATTTTAAATTAAATATAAATCTCTCTCTCTACACTCAGCTCTGTGACCTCACTGGTTTCAGTTTGTGATAAACATGTTTCTCTGTGTTTTATTCCGCTCTTTGTGTTTCCTACTGTTGTGTGAATTAGCTCCTGACAGCCCTGTTTACCACCTCTGAGCTGTAAAACAAGCTACACTTAAATTTAATATCAAATTATGCTGTTTCAACTTCCCTTTTTTACCCCGGTGGTGAAAAGCCTTCGCTCCCGTCTTCCTGCCCACCGATGCAGAAACGTCATCTTGTATTTATGTAAAGCGGTTTTTCAGAGCGCCGTGTGTTTCTGTTCTGGATTTAACCTGAGACACGACGATCAAGCTGCTTTTATCGAGGCAGACGGAGCTCTGCACACTGATTTTATTTCACCCCTGGAGGTGGTGTAACTTCAGGAAGAAAAAAATGACTAACAGGTTTTCTTGTCACTTCCCACCTCTGAGCTTCATGCGTTTGACATTCTTTGATATGAGTGTGGAAGTCTGGACTCTGGGGGCCGCAGGTAGGTCGACAGATTCAACGAGACAAGACAAAAAACGGAGAGCAGAAACAACAAATGGCTCCGTCGGCCCCGGGGCTGGATCACAGCGCTGCAATCCTCCGGTGGCTGATGTCCTTTCAGAGGCAAACAACACTCCTGTGCTGTGGTTTTAATGGTGCCACGGTGGCGACGTATGTTTTGGTTTTAGCAAGAAAAAAACGTTCCCTGAAGAGTTCAGTTTATCTTGCAGGTAAAAAAGAAGAGCTCGGAGACGTCCTCTGTCTCTTATTTCTTCTTTTTTGACTTTCACATTAAATCTGGATCATTTTGTGGGGATATTTTAGCCTTGCTAGCGATGTGGCTCCTGGGACTGATCCACCATCCAACAGCAGATATTCATGTTCCCCCTCAGGATGAATCAGAATATAAAGACTTTTCATTCAGTGACTAAATATCCTCAAAGCTAATGACATCAGCCTGAGCCAAATAGCAAATATTAGCATGCTTAACAAACAACATTATAGCTATTGAATATCAGCATGTTAGCATTCTCATTATGAGCATGCTAGCATGAAGATGTTAGCATTTAGCCTTAGAGAGCTGCTAGTGTTGCTGTAAACCAGATATAACACACAGCACTACACAGTTAGTATACCTGGAATTACTTAATTATATATATATATATATATATATATATATAGTATCACTATCACTCGCCACCCCAATGAAATACACACTTTAGGACTTTTATGGGTTTATTTTACTTTTCCTGTGTCCCTCCTCAGAATAACTGGGCAGTACGAATATAGGACAAGGCGCTTTAACCTCTCTAATCATAATCTTTTATTCAGATGTTGCTGATTAAAAAGCTAC